TTAAAATTCTTCCGTCTGATCCGTCAATAGTTCCGAAACCCAGAATCCAACTGGATTTCCTCTGTTAGTAGGATGTTTTAGGATCCGATAGAATCCGTCGTCGGATTAGTCGACTTGGGAAGTCATGTTTATTTTAAATATTAATATTTTCATTCTATTTATATTTATTTAACTATAAATTAAAGTAAGCGATTCTATTTCTTTCTGATATTCGGTTCCCATCACACGAATAAAGAAGAGCGACATGTTGTAGTGTTCAAGAAAATACATATGCATAATCGTTCCAAACTGTGTAGGATATCTTAGGACAACGTTTTCCTAAATGGATTCGTACTAAAGCGCTTTCCAACTCAGATTTTGATGAGTTCTAACAAAGGCATATGTTTTACGAGTGAAAAACACTCATATCCTTTCCGAGAACCTTAAAACGACACAAAATTATGTCGTACAAAATTCCGTAATACTCGTTCTGATGCTCCGTGAGGGCTTATCCAACAGGCATACACACATTGGCAATTAGGCTTGCATGCGCTTCATTTATAATGAACATATTCTGAACGTCGAGTCACCAAGAAAGTTCCTACTTCTGCTATAGAACTTTTAGCCATCCGTCTAGAATACCTCTATCGATTTGGAAGGATTTATTGCTTATTTGATTTAATTGGGTCATGTTTTGCCCAACTCAATGCTAGATTTCTTGATTACCACGAAGTATTTGATTTCAAGAAGAAAGTGGATCTACGATTGTCTTCAAACTCCTACATATAAACCCCTTTTCAGAATGAGAGTTTTGTGGAAGAATTCAATGACTATCTATTTACATAGAGAATTTTAAAGACTCTTCAAAAACTCGCTTTCATTGGGAAATCATCTAGCTGATAAATCGCGACACAGCTTAAGACTAGATGGTATTCGAGTTTCACTCGTATACGAAATGCGATGCGAAGCAAGAATCCGTATCTCCTACGAAAAATCTTCAACTGATAGATATTAAATAGTTTTTATATAGCCATTATGCAATTCATCACGAAGAAAATTCTATTCTTACTTAGCGATCTATTCTTACTGATTGATTTCGATTGATCGATTAATTATCTCCATGATTCATTATCATAGATCAGCTGTAAATGAATAGACTATAGTGACTAACATATGTTCATTACGTCACTTTAATTATCTCGCCACAAATTTCTTTCATTTTTGTCAGTTTGGAAATAAATTTCTGGGAGAACAGAACTTCAGATTGAAGATTCTAAAACAGATGTTAAAAGTTCGATCTCGATACTTCCATCTGACGTTTTAACTACTTTTCTACGATTTTGTGTTCTAGAGATCATCGCATCACAAAACAACAAAAAAAATGCTTACGTCGAGAAAACAAAGAAAAAGAAAACACGCGACGGACTACAGTAATGCAATGCTTCGCATCGTATTAAAAAGAACCAATAAATACTGAACTAATTAGGGAGTTTTAGAATGTCCGATGTGATTTATTCAACGAGAGAGGTTTCAAATTGATAGAGCACGTCAAAGTCTACTTTTAGAACTCTTTATATTATTCGCAAACACTGCTAAGTTAATTGCAACAGGTTTTCCGAGATTCAGATGTTTTTGGACGCGTGGTTTTGTCATGTTTCGAGAGGAATAATGACTTTTTCTCTGAGAAACAAGGTATGGATATAATATAGCTCATGAAGATCTAGCTGACGAGCAGGTAGCCTAAGTTGAAGAGTAGTTTAGTGCGAATTCATTCAGGAAAAACTCATATTCCAGCCTAAGATATTTCACGTATATAAATTACAGAACATAATATTCATATTTTTTAAATGTTTAAGTAATTATAATTTATATTTATTGTAAAATAGCGAATCTGTCAAAAAACGTTTTCATTTATTTTGAATTAAGAGAAAAATAATACCCCTAATTTACATAGTCGATAATGGCACTCAATCAATTTTTCTGTATGTTTCCTAATGATGGATTCTGTTCCACGCATTCTGCTTGGAAAGAATGAATTAAAATATATTGTTCATGAAATAGATTGCATCATTATTTTTGTTTGAACGATTTATTATTAAAATATAGAATACCCCATTCATTTACAACGTGCAATAAAAATTATTCATGAAAAATCTGTAGTCTTTCAATTTCCTACATAATATTAATATCAACCCAAATGAAATAGATATATTTTCTTCTCTCTTTTTTTAATGTTTTGTTGATTGAATATTCTTGAAGATCCCAGGTCGTGGACGTACGGCGGGAAACGGCCGGAAAGCACAGGAAAGCGCTGGAACGTGGAAGCAGTATTCCAGTTGGAAGTTACCGGATTTTTTTCTTGTAGATTCCGATCAACTTCCAGATGTAAAACACAGAAAACTGACCGGAAAACACAGGAAACTGACCGGAATCCACAGGAANCACAGAAACCTGACCGCAAAACACCGTAAAAAAATCGGGTATCTTCCAACGGGAATACTGCTTCCAGTTTCCAGTGCTTTCCCGTGCTTTCCGGCCAGATACGGTGATTTTTCCGCATCTTTCCGGCCGGTGCCTACAGTATCCGTCCTCCGGAATCATTGACCTGGGATATACTACATAGTCCTTTCAAATTGATCTCATCTAAAAATGTCTTTATCCAACGAAATAAAATTAGGAATACTTATTACATTCCAAATTTCATCAATAGTTTGTCATATTTTTAATTTTTAATTTATCATTGAATATTTAATCGACAACTATTGCAAGCGCTACATAATCATATCATGTTAGTATTTTTAATCTTCAATTGTTTATTTATAACCATTGATCTATCAATGACAGATAGTTTTCTATGAAATGAATCTGTCGTAGAAGGTACTGTAAATTTTTGTCTAGCATGGAATGTAATTGATTCGTTTCTAACAAATGTACTAGTACTTTTAATGGCATGGGCATCGCTTGAACGTCATTGATTTGTTTTTTATGATCGCAGTATTTAACAATAAAATTAAACGTTTTATCTTTCACTATATTCCAATAAGTATATTAATTTTTTATGCATTTGTTTTCTATATGAATGCTGTTGTTATTAATCCAAATTGTTCCAATAGAGAACATTTTAATTACAGCCAACAAGTTTGCGATCGAGCATATTATATATATGAAAATATAATTTTATCATCAATTCATTTGCTAATACATAAAATCCTATGTTCAATGCTTATATTTATTTTCAATTCATTTTTATTAATACGTATTTTTCATCAAAGAAAAAGACGCAATCAAATCATAAGATGGCGAAAACATAAAAAAATGATAATGTAAACTTTATCATTATCAACATTTTATGTTATTGGCATATTACCATCGGCTATCTCTGAGACGATACATATATTCGGAAGCAACAGAAATGAACACGAAGAAACGTTATTACAAGAAGAATTATTTTTATATCTATTTTATTTTATTTCTTTCATTATACCTTTTGTCTGTTTAATGAATTTGCCAGAAATTTATGTTAAAATACCGTTGGCACATTATCTGCACCGTATACCACATGCAGTATCTCAAATAGCACATACAGTACGTCGAAATCAGATTGACATCACCGCTTTAAATACTGGATGGAATGATACCAAGTAAACCAAGATGAACTTCACTTAAATGCATAAACGTTTCAATTGCATTTTTTAAATTAAAATTCTTTTCATGTTTATTATTATATTGTATTAGTTTTCTGAAGAAAAAAATGATTAGTATGACATGTTTCACTTCTGTTCGGTGTCAACTTAGAACAAAACATAAATTATCAATACGTATCATCTGATTCATTTCTTTTTCTATTAGTATTCTTGTGTCATTTTAGCTGTATGATAATAAGCAAATATCTAAGGAATGTAAACATACTATTCGTTTGGTTGCATTTTAATAACAGGAATGTCATGCACCGCTAATATCTGGTCTCACCTCAAAATAAGGAACAGAAGAGGAAGTAAATTCAGCATACATATATTTATTTATTTATTCACAGCAATACGGAAAGCAAATGTATCGAAGTTAAACTACAACATTATAAAGATTAATAATAGAAAAATTAATCAAAGAAAGTATTGGCTCACTAGCTAGAAGCATTTATTGATACATATGAATGCTTCAGATGCTTTAATCATGATTTGAATATTTCTCGGAAGTTGCCAAGAATTCATAATCATTAGTCAAAGTGATATCGTAATTTAAAATCACAGCAGCGAAAAATATTAACACACGAATCTTTCTATTTCAATATTATTTACGTAATACTACCTGTGGCTTTTTTTCATTCATTTTGGAATTCATTCATTTCAACATCGTAATTATATGAATAAGAGCTATTACTATGAAAATAAAAATCATATTTTTTCGGGACTAGATCGCAACAAACGTACCACTCATGAAGCGATATCGATAATATTTCATTGTTAATATTTCGATTCTTTGATTGTTAAAATATGTTTTATTAGTAATTCATCTTACAGTAATGATAATACTATGTCAAAGTAGATTTTAATTCTTAATCATAGGTAATCTCAGTCTATCACTTTATTCAACAAGTTTATTTTTTTTTGTATATTTTTTACATGGATCCAGTTGCATTTACAAATATTTCTAGAGAAATCAATGAAAAATATGGAATTAATAAATAAAAAATTATAATGCGATATCTTTGAAAACGATGGAAGTTTTTAAACGATAGAAAAACAACTTAAAGTCTAATACTAAATACATCTAAATAAATTTCGACAAGTAAAACATGTGAATGAGAAATACTTATACATTCATTAGAATTTATATTTCCTATTAAAAAGTCTTCTTAAATATAGAATCAATGAAATAATACAATATTCATCTGATAAGAAAAAGACAGGCATGAAGCACATATGTTGATCCAGATTATTGATAGATTCGAGACAAATCTGATTATCATATTCATAAAAGAACCATTTGGTAATCATTTGACAATTGCTCGTTATTGTAATCGGATGATAGGACAAGCAATAATGCATACATCAGTACCTTTACTGAAATTCGACAATCAAGGTGATGTTGCTATAATTCAACCAAGTAAAACTTTTTATTTTCATCTAAATATAAATTCCATGACCGCTGATTTGTATTTAAGAAGAAAATAAATCTTATTGGCATTGTCTATGTCAATTTACAAGACATCTATTACATCAAATCAGTTTAATAGGTCTTGTTATTGTGTATCTTATATGTGGTGGCTTGCTGTTTACATTTATTGAATCGGAATATGATTTAGAAAAAGATGCTGAACGAGAAAAATTAATCCGTGAAACATATCTTCATATACGTATATTAGCTATTAATTTATTAAATGAACAATTAAATGAAAACTTTGAAACTGCTTATCAACAATGGCGATGGGACAAAGATAAATCGTCGAATTATATTTATTTAAATGAACAACGAGTCAATATGTTGGATAATCAAACTGCATTTGAATTAGAAAATCTATCGATGGGTTTAGCTTTGCAACAAGCTGCCGGAGAAAAATTTGTCTATAAATGGACGTATCCAACAGCAATATTATATGCAGCAACATTAGTAACAACGATTGGCTATGGAAATATCTCACCTAAAACAATATGTGGAAAATTTTCTACAGTTATTTGTAAGACTATATTTAAAATCCTTTCAAATTTGAGTGTTTTCCTTTTGTTTTAGATGCTTTAATGGGTGTTCTGTTGGTTGTTTCATGGTTAGAATTAGTAGGAGAATCCTTAGCCGTGTCAGTAGCACATTATTATCAACGTTTAAATCGATTTGTTCGACGATATTTAAAAGGAAAAACGAAGCCACTGCAAGATAAAGTAAGTATGATGAAAAGTTTTTCGATCTTCTACGAAGTCATCGTAGCACTTGTATTGAGTTGGAACAAGTAATAAAAATGACAAATACGATCTCTTATCAATATTGCATCGGTTTCGTTAACGATATCAATGCATTTATGTACTTTTTTGTAAATATTGATTGATCACTATTAGAATTTGTGGACAAAATAATAACTCAATTAGGATTTTGTTTTTCTATAGATTTATCAACATGAAAATGTGCCTTTCTGGGTACCAGTAACTCTTTTAATTGTTTATCTTCTTGCTGGCTCTCTTCTTTTTGCGGCATGGGAAGGATGGTCATATATTGATAGCGCTTATTTTTCATTTATTACATTTACTACAATTGGATTTGGTGATTTCGTTCCAGGTGAAACGACCATTAGTCATCGAAGCGGACGATCATTGATCTGCGCTTTTTATCTATTATTTGGCGTTATGCTCACGGCATTGAGTTTTAAATTAATACAAGAAGACATTGATCGGATAAAAGCAAAGCTTCTTCAACGTCTTGGTATTAAACAAATAGATTGCTCAACGATAAAGCAATGATACACATCAAACTACTTTCTTCATCGATTGGCTCCTCTTCATAGCGACAGAATAGACAAGATATTCTTTCTCTCTCTTTTTTTCTTTCACTTCTTTTCTATTCACTCCCACTAATATATAGTGACACAATCCTTGTGGAGTCACTTGTGCAAAGGAAAGAAAATGCATGAAATATCATATAGGGCCGAAAAAGATCTGACAAACCGCTAGAAGAAGAACGAGAGGAAATGAATGCGCAAAAGAATGTGAACAAAAAAAGAGAAAAGTGTTTTTTCTTCTGCCTATATTAGTCAACAATAAATACTACACGGGCGGAACCTCTTCTTTTTTCTGCATTATTCATTGGATTCTCACGGTGATGTTTTTATTGTGACTACATACATATATTATATATGTGCAATAAATTTTAAAAAATCTTATTTTATTAGAAATAATGACAACAACTGTTGATAATGATTCTAAAGATTCATCAACTATTGTACAATTCGATCGTGACTGGAAATTTAATGTATTAAATTCATCATCAAATGACGAAATTATTTCAATAAACTATGATGATTCACAATGGAAAACAATTGATTTGCCACATATAGAACCTGTAGATAAATTAGCCATATGTTGGTATCGAAAAAAATTTGAATGGAGAAACAAACCAGATTATCATCAGTATACGTACTTGAATTTTTATTCAAATGAAGATGAATATCAGCCACCGATATCTCTTGCGGCAGTGTGGTTAAATGAAACGAAGATTTATTCAGGTGTTCTCACAAAATCTATTCAATTAACAAAATTTCTTCGCATAAATACAGATAATATTTTTGTTATTCGCTTATCGATCTGTCATACACTTTCATTACATAGTCGAATACTCATGCCACCTGTTTGTGCGGGTCAAATTAATTATGATCCTATTAATGAAAATGCAACAAAAAAACGACTTAAAAAACTAGATTATACAGCTAGTTTTGATGATTACGGTGGACTTATTGATATTTTTATTGATTCATCAAATAAAATGAAACCAGTTGTAGAACTTGAGAAATCTGATCCCGATGAAGATACAAAACAAGAACCTATTATTGGTAATCAACAACCTGAAACTGAAAAGAAATTTGGAACTGCCACCGTACCTCGTGTTGCTATTTTAATACTTATCGTTGGTACACGTGGTGATGTTCAACCATTTATTGCTCTTGGAAAAGCTCTTCTTGCATGTGGTCATCGTGTTCGAATTGCAACACATGAAGTTTTCAGAAAATTTGTTCGAGAAAATGGTATTGAATTTTATCCATTAGCTGGTGATCCAGCTGATCTTATGTCGTTTATGGTTAAAAATGCTGGTATTGNCCGTACCTCGTGTTGCTATTTTAATACTTATCGTTGGTACACGTGGTGATGTTCAACCATTTATTGCTCTTGGAAAAGCTCTTCTTGCATGTGGTCATCGTGTTCGAATTGCAACACATGAAGTTTTCAGAAAATTTGTTCGAGAAAATGGTATTGAATTTTATCCATTAGCTGGTGATCCAGCTGATCTTATGTCGTTTATGGTTAAAAATGCTGGTATTGTGCCATCAATAAGTAGTATTGTTGCAGGTGATATTACTAAACATCGTCGTATTATTGCTGATATACTTGCATCGACATGGAAAGCATGTGTAGAAGATGACGATGAAACAGATGTATCATTCGTTGCCGAAGCTATCATTGCCAATCCACCATCATTCGGTCATATACATTGTGCACAAAAATTACAAATACCTTTACATATGGTATTTACGATGCCATGGTCACCAACTGTTCAGTTTCCTCATCCTCTGTGTAAAATAGATTACAATCGAGCATCCATTGAAAGAATCAATATATTATCGTATCATTTAGTTGAAATATTTGTAAGTCATCTATTGATTGAACATTTTCAAAAATTTTCAATTTCAGTTGCGCAGTTATGTAAAATTTATATAGATTCGACCAATTTCTTGATCTATACCTTCAGAAGAAATACATTCGATAATACTATTGGACAAAAACAAACTTCGGTTTCAGTCAGATGTAAATAGACGTTAGTGCGAATTCTCTTAAGACTGTATACTAAAGCAAGTGAATGCAAAATGCAGAATTAGTGCAGTCTTTAAAACTATTTTTCATGAGATAAAACTGTTAAAAGCTATAATTGTTAAAAAGATTTCATACAAATTATATCCTGTGAAATAATTTAATACTATTCTTTTTGCTGATGCCACTATGATAAGTAGAAATAAGCTTAGTGAGCTTTATCATACACTAATAATGAATGATTACGTTCAGAAACAAATTGAAAATGAAATAATTAGTTATAGATGATGAACAAAAAAAAACGATTTTTAAATAAATAGTTTTCTTAGAATAAAATTACTGCATTTTATTTTCGGAGAAAAGTTATCTATTCGTTGTAAACATAAGAGTTGACTTCTTCATTATTTCATATGTATTTAGACATGGTCTAGTATGCATAATATCATCAATGAATTTCGTAAGAATGTTCTTGGCTTAGCACCGTTGCATATGCGTCAAGCTGTTCGTTTGATGATTGATGAACGTGTACCACATACATATTGTTGGTCACCTTCACTTGTTCCTAAACCAGCTGATTGGCCTTCACACATTGATATATCTGGATTTTTCTTTCTTGATCTTGCAACGAATTTCACTCCACCTGAAGATCTCGTTCGATTTCTTGAATCAGGCGATCCACCAATTTATATTGGTTTCGGTTCGATTACTGGTCACGATTCTCAACGAATCTTACATGTTGTACTTGAGGCTTTGAAAATCAGTGGATATCGAGCTATATTATCTGGATTGGTTAAAGACACTGATGAATTACCTGAGAATATTTATGGTATTGGCAACTGTCCTCATGATTGGCTTTTCCAACATGGTAAAATCTAATTTTTCTCAAAAAAAGCTTTTATTAAAATAATTTTCTCATGTATTCTAGTATCAGCTGTGTGTCATCATGGCGGTGCAGGTACAACTGCAGCTGGTCTTCGTGCTGGAAAACCTACTATTGTTGTACCATTTTTTGGTGATCAATTCTTTTGGGGAGCAATGATTAATAAAAGTGGTGCTGGCCCGGCACCAATACCGGGCAAACGATTTAATGTTAATGACTTAATAGATGCATTTAAATTTGTACATGAACCCGATACACGTGAAGCTGCTCTTAAATTAAGCATTGCATTTGAAAATGAAAATGGTTGCGAAGCTGCTGTTCAATCATTTCATGCGAATTTACCATTGAATAGAATGCATAGTGATCTTGAACCATCATTTGCCGCATGCTTTCGATTAGATAAATATGATTTGAAAATTTCACGCCCAGTTGCACAAGTACTTATGACTGCTGAAGTTATCGATGAATGTGAATTAACCATGTTATCTACTCGTGATTGGAGTGCATCAATGTATGACGATCGACCACATATACCAGCACATGGTTTTATAAAACATGGACGTAAAGCTTTACAAAGTTTATTTATTGATACAGCACAAGGTTTGAAACAAGCAGTCAGGTCACCTAGTGTAACAACAGGTACTCTTGATGGCACAGAAAGTATTATTAGAGGTGTTGGGAAAAGTATTGGACATGTATATATCGGGTGTTTATCATTTTATGGTGAAATAACAGATGCACTTGAACAGTTACCACAATTATACGATCCGTATGCAGATTCAGATAAACGTAAACGACCACACGTAAAAGATTTTAGTACTGGCTTAAGAGCTGCTGAACATTCTATATGGCATGGATTTAAAGATGGTGTTAAAGGTCTTGTAGACAAACCTCGAACAGGCTATGATAGACACGGTGTTTTAGGTGGAGCAGCTGGTGCAGCTATTGCTTTACCCAATGCTGTTATTAAACCTGCTGTTGGTACACTTGCTTCAATAACTTGGTTGGGTCGAGGTATTTATGCTCACAGTAAACAGCTAAGAAAAAATAAACATTCAAGTGATCATTTATTAATATCAAGTTCAACTGGAGTTCGACGACGTTCATCTGGATCAACAACATTGAGTGAAGATACATCACCAGCAGGTATGGCATCATTTGAATCAGGTTTAAGAATTGAAATATGCCAAAAAATATTAAGTGACTTTGAACAAATTAAAAGTAAACATAACTCTAAAGCATTCTTATTGGTAAATAATAATGAACATTCCAAAGAAACAAACGCGCACACCAAAATAAATAGATTATTTCATCGTCAACGCAGTCATTCAGCAACCTCTCATTAACTCATTATTTCTTGTTATTTTCGTTTTTGTTTGTGTTTGTGTTTATCTATGAATTAATAGAAGATATTCGACATTCGCGTTTTCTCTCTATGTCATCAAATTTACTGTGCAGATAAAAATAGTTTATATTCTGAACTATCCCATCTATATACATATATATCTTTGTATTGATCATGCTTTAGTGTTTATTCTTATTAATAAATTCATACTATTTCTTGCAATGGTTAACATTGATTTTACTCTTGTTTTCATGTCAAGAAATTTTTACAAGATTGAATTGTATTATTTTATGTAGGTAAACATTTTCTAATTCAATTTCTTAAATATAAAACTCGCTGAAGTACTCTATGTATTTTCAAAACATTTTTTTTTATAAAGCAATCGAAAAAGTTTCTTAAGAAATTTCTCTACTAACAACAAAAGCTTCATGCTTTTTGTTTGTGCAAAATCAATTGAAGTTTGATCTTGATAGTACTCAACAATGTCAGCCATTCTGGTGAATAAATTTAATATTGTTAAAAATGGTATTGTCAGTAACTAATCATAGATTCATTCGTGAAAACAAACTAAAATGTTCTATAAGGATTGTATCTCTCATAGGATTTAGATAATTTTCTCGTAATGGATTATCGTTAATGTTAGAATTGATATACAACAACATTCTCTTACATAAGAATATTTGCTCGTGTCTCTTTATTACATTCTAAAAATGATGAAGGTTTGACGACGAAACATGTGCGCCTTGGTACTTTTTATGTATTAACTACCGACAAAAAAAAATCCACGAAGTTCAAAGAATGAAGAGAAAAGAAAGAAAAGAGAGTAACATTACTTAATGACTGAATTTTTTTCATCAACTCACAAAGGGGGAGCAAACGGGCACGATTGTTTGCACTAGAACAGCATGGTGTTCGTTTGTTTCTACGAGTGAAATTTAACAATAAACCTGTTGTTATACACATTTTAAATAAATAATTCAAACAAAACAAAACAAAAGCTATGTTAAATAATGATATTGGAGATGTAACAACTAGTATTAATTTTGATAATGATTGGCGATATATTCGTTCATCGCACGCAACATCATATGATCATGAATTAACTTTGTTTTCATATAATGATGAAGATTGGACCACAATAAAAATACCTCATTATGAGAATAACAAATCACAAAAATTTTCGTCAGTATGTGTTTCATATTGGTATAGAAAACGATTTAATTTAAAACAAATATTTGCTCCAGATCAACATGTCTACTTACATTTCGAATCCACATCTAAAGAAAACAAAAGAAATAAAAATCAACTCGATCTAAAAATACCTGCTGTTACTATATGGTTGAATGAAAATAAAATTTTTCATGATACACTTCCTCAACCGGTCAGTTTAACTGGATATTTAAGAAATGATTTCGAAAATTTACTTGTAATTTATTCTAAATACGGATATCGCCTTCGTTTACAAGCACGTTTAGTTTCGCCGCGTCATTTATCTGGCCAAATTGATCTCAATGAACTTCATAATAAGCCATCAGAAAAACAGCAGAAAAAAACACTTGATTATGCGGCAAGTTTCAATGATACCAATGGACGTATTGATGTTTTTATTCAGAATCTAACGAAATACGTTGAAAACAATGATATCGATATTAATGAAAATGCAAAATTAGATGATATTAAAAATGACGAAAATGTCAAAGCACAATCAATAACAGACGATCCCGTACCTCGTGTTGCTATTTTAATACTTATCGTTGGTACACGTGGTGATGTTCAACCATTTATTGCTCTTGGAAAAGCTCTTCTTGCATGTGGTCATCGTGTTCGAATTGCAACACATGAAGTTTTCAGAAAATTTGTTCGAGAAAATGGTATTGAATTTTATCCATTAGCTGGTGATCCAGCTGATCTTATGTCGTTTATGGTTAAAAATGCTGGTATTGTGCCATCAATAAGTAGTATTGTTGCAGGTGATATTACTAAACATCGTCGTATTATTGCTGATATACTTGCATCGACATGGAAAGCATGTGTAGAAGATGACGATGAAACAGATGTATCATTCGTTGCCGAAGCTATCATTGCCAATCCACCATCATTCGGTCATATACATTGTGCACAAAAATTACAAATACCTTTACATATGGTATTTACGATGCCATGGTCACCAACTGTTCAGTTTCCTCATCCTCTGTGTAAAATAGATTACAATCGAGCATCCATTGAAAGAATCAATATATTATCGTATCATTTAGTTGAAATATTTGTAAGTCATCTATTGATTGAACATTTTCAAAAATTTTCAATTTCAGTTGCGCAGTTATGTAAAATTTATATAGATTCGACCAATTTCTTGATCTATACCTTCAGAAGAAATACATTCGATAATACTATTGGACAAAAACAAACTTCGGTTTCAGTCAGATGTAAATAGACGTTAGTGCGAATTCTCTTAAGACTGTATACTAAAGCAAGTGAATGCAAAATGCAGAATTAGTGCAGTCTTTAAAACTATTTTTCATGAGATAAAACTGTTAAAAGCTATAATTGTTAAAAAGATTTCATACAAATTATATCCTGTGAAATAATTTAATACTATTCTTTTTGCTGATGCCACTATGATAAGTAGAAATAAGCTTAGTGAGCTTTATCATACACTAATAATGAATGATTACGTTCAGAAACAAATTGAAAATGAAATAATTAGTTATAGATGATGAACAAAAAAAAACGATTTTTAAATAAATAGTTTTCTTAGAATAAAATTACTGCATTTTATTTTCGGAGAAAAGTTATCTATTCGTTGTAAACATAAGAGTTGACTTCTTCATTATTTCATATGTATTTAGACATGGTCTAGTATGCATAATATCATCAATGAATTTCGTAAGAATGTTCTTGGCTTAGCACCGTTGCATATGCGTCAAGCTGTTCGTTTGATGATTGATGAACGTGTACCACATACATATTGTTGGTCACCTTCACTTGTTCCTAAACCAGCTGATTGGCCTTCACACATTGATATATCTGGATTTTTCTTTCTTGATCTTGCAACGAATTTCACTCCACCTGAAGATCTCGTTCGATTTCTTGAATCAGGCGATCCACCAATTTATATTGGTTTCGGTTCGATTACTGGTCACGATTCTCAACGAATCTTACATGTTGTACTTGAGGCTTTGAAAATCAGTGGATATCGAGCTATATTATCTGGATTGGTTAAAGACACTGATGAATTACCTGAGAATATTTATGGTATTGGCAACTGTCCTCATGATTGGCTTTTCCAACATGGTAAAATCTAATTTTTCTCAAAAAAAGCTTTTATTAAAATAATTTTCTCATGTATTCTAGTATCAGCTGTGTGTCATCATGGCGGTGCAGGTACAACTGCAGCTGGTCTTCGTGCTGGAAAACCTACTATTGTTGTACCATTTTTTGGTGATCAATTCTTTTGGGGAGCAATGATTAATAAAATTGGTGCTGGTCCAGTGCCAATTCCGGGCAAAACGATAACAGCAAAACAGTTAGCTGCTGCATTCAAATTTGTACATGATCCAGATGCACAAGCTGCTGCCTTAAAAATAAGTTTGAATGTTCAAAATGAAAATGGTTGCGAAGCTGCTGTTCGATCGTTTCATGCTCATTTACCCTTGAATAGAATGCGCAGCTATTTTGAACCATCCTTCGTTGCACGTTTTCGATTAAATGAATATGATTTACGAATTTCTCGCCCTGTAACTCAAGTACTTATTGCTACTCGAGCAATACAATTATCTCAACTATCGTTACATTATATTCACGATTGGCATACAATACGATATGTTAGTCGCCCTGAAACATCCAATTGGAGTTTTAAACGAGTAATGTCAAGATTTACATTTTCAAATAAAATCGCAAATCGATCCAAGAGTGCAAGCAGTTTGGACATCAACAGATCGCATAGCACCGCAACTATTCAAAAATACGACGTATTGAGTTTAGAACGTTCGTTTAAAGATAGTTTACCATTTTATGGTAAATGTAAAGAATACCCTCAAGAAAAACATGATAAAGATTTGCAAGCAGCAAAGACACCTAAAGTTGACGTTCATTATGATCTCACGAGTATTGTTTTCCGATCTCCCCTTTATATACGTCCACAAAATACTACTGTTTTATCTTCAACAGCTAGCGTTAGATCCGTAGACAAAAATAGTAAAACAATGCGAATAAATAAAACATCATTTTTCAAATCGCCTTATCAAAATAATCAAACTCAAATTACACGAAGACCACAAACAAGTAGCAAAACTCAACGTACAATAACAACAGCTAAACCAAAGCCTTCAGTCAAATTAAAAGATACAATTATTAGTAAATCTCCAGAGCAAGACGCTGCAAATAAATCTGGTTTATCGATTGATCTTTGCAAAGAAATATTAGCTGACTTCAAAAAAGTTCAATATGATCAATATCATACAAAAGCTAATGATAGATCAACAACTCAAATCATGACTCCTATTCCATTTAGTTCAAATAGACGACGTAGTCGTTCATCAGTGATTCATTGAATTTTTTGTTTTTCATTTTGATTTCTGTGTATTTGATTAATTTATGTTTGTTTTTCTTACATTAACTATGTATATGCGTGAGTTGCCAAAGTTTGATATGATTCATATTTCGGTTATATTTGACCAACAAACTGATTTCTCATAATTAAACTTTACCTAGACTAAATTTTGTCATGTTTTCACTCAACTATACAAAAAAAAGCATGACAAAACGCCACTCCCATTATGCCCGGTGTTAAATGAATATATTTTTATTATTCTAAGAAAAAACGCGAGGAAGCGGATGCAACTAACAACGCTGGTTTTAGGCCGTTCAATTCTCTATCGGCACTAATTTTAATTTATCGTCGTCTTTATTTCTTAGATCGACATCTATAATGTCTGCCAAACATTGACGAATCTTATTCATGCAAAAGTCAATGCTGAGTAATAATATTCTATTCGTCAATATTGATTATAATCGAACTTATAATGTAAGGAAGACAATAAAAAATGATTAAGTATTTCTATCATTGAAATTTTTTGATAAAAATCAATTAGAACCATAATTCTCTAATTTTGTTCTCAAACAAGGTAGCGGCACTCTGTTGTGCATGACATCTGTTCGCAAATATTTCTACTGACTATAATTCAAAGAAAATAAAAAATGCACTAAATAAATATATTGTTGGCTTGAAAGACCTTCGTATTTCTTCTAAGAGTAGAAACACATTTATCATCAAATAGCAAACTGTGAGAGTAAAATACGCTTTTAATGTTATTTTAACAAACTGTCGCTTCATAGCATTGACAAAGACTCATAGAAACATTTTCCACCAATAGGGCTTCGATCTATTTTCATTTCGTTCGTGCGAATCCCACCCAACAGTTGCAATTCAATTATATGTAAAAAGATTCTAGTTTTTCTTGAACGAATGAACGAAATAAGTCAATCATTATAGACATTTTTTATTCCTATAGTTTTTTACAAAAAAATAAGAAAGAATAAATGAATATTTCATAATGGTTAGTCCAGATTATCGCAACACCAGATGACAATCCAAGCGTGAATTACTCCAGGAACCTTTAAAAGAAAAAAAGCTATTAATTAATTTAATCTTAACAAAAGAAAAACGAATACTTACAAGGCCGAGTATTGTAAGTATAATATTAACGAACACAGTGCCGCTGCACACTTTATTTCTTGCTATCCATACACCAATAGGTGGAAGAAATAAACTAACAAGCATTAATAATATTTTTGCGCAACAACCTGCCATCTTCGTACACTTATTGCCGTATCAAAATGACGAACACAAATATGTAGTCGGTAACTTTTCTCGTCGTTTATATAGCACAAGATATTACTCATTTGGTGTTTTTTTCGCTCTCTCTCGCTTTCTCATTCTTAGTTGGTCGGTCGGTCGGCTCAAGTGCATGAGTCATAAACTATCAAGGCTAAGCAACCATTAAAGAGGAAGATAAATATAGTCATTCGACAATGAATCGAGTTTTGTTGCTGATACATTCATAAAAAAAAAATGATATCATAGCAAAGAGAAAAAGAATGAAACGAACAATAGCAGTAACCGCTATTTATACATCTACCATCATTTAATGTAAAAAACTTTTAGACATCTGGATATCTACTAGGTCAATATTTAATTCTTTTTTTATACTTAACATCGCGCGCTTTTATTTTATCTTAACGTTTCAGTTATACTTCTAGCGATAAAATTTGTTCTTGGACATACTGAATAAAATATGATAGACTAAAATTTTTTGTTTTATTATTATTATTATTATTATTATTATTGTTTCCAGTCGTGCAAATACACAAACATAGAGAGAGAGATATTGAACATTGAACAGGAACAAGAAGAAAAACTGAATCATTTTATTTTTGGTTGAAAAATGAAAACTAGTTGATAAAGAGAACAGCATAGAGAAAACAGAAGAAAATAAATAAGGACGAACGATGTGTGTACAATATGCGAAAATAAGAAAAAACAAAAAGGACGGAATGAAAAGACAAGAAAAATCATTCGCAAGCAAGTTTACCATCAAAAGACGATAGAGCTATACCAAATGCTTGAACAGCACACATTGGATATTTGAAATCGCATGTGAAAACATCTAAAGTTATAATTAGAAAATAAATGTTTTGCATCAATTATTAAATTAAATATAATTGATATGTTTTAGTTTTTGAAAACTACCTCCATTTAAATGATAAATCAATAAAATGATCGAGAAATGTATCGAATATAGCTGTCATTAAGCAATTGTTGTACTCTCGAGCAAATAGATTAAAAACTATCGATGATATCATATTACCAAGAACAAAATCGAGGGAAGCACGTTAGTTGTTCCTTCAATACTTTATTTATAACATACAATTTCTAGTAGCTATGATCAGAGTTTATAGGGTAACTAGTTCAGACAGAAAACAGTTAGAAGTTTACTGCTTATAAATACAGATTATGACGGCAGGGTCAATAAGATAAAAACAAACTCTTGAAAGATTTGTGTTAAAGTCTGACGTATCACTTTTCCCTCAAACATAAATCTAATATATATCCTTTGACAATATTTACAAATTGTTCCAATCTTTTTTGACATAGCCTATTGAAAGATATGATAATGTCGAAATGAAGTCAAGCTACAACGAACTGATTCAAACTTTTTTTTTGTATGATCCATAAGAAAAGATTTTTTAGAATTTTTACTTATCATATTAGCTAGAACCGCAACATAGAATGTCTTCCATAATAAATATTACTGTCAAATTTATAGTGATTTAGAAAAAAATACAAAAGAATTTATTCAGACGTATTATTTGTAACAGAAACAAAAAGAAAGGCTTTTTTAATTTTCGATCGAGAATAATCATAACACAAAATTTTCGTGCGAAATAGTTTTATATTCGTCTACTTTATGATCTGTACTTTAAAATGTTTTTTTCCTTTATGAGTATGTCTTTTCATAAATCACAATAAAACAAATATATTCATGTCAAGTTCGATGATTATGCAGTTTTTCGAATGAATCAATGCTATACAATTCACAGTTTTTAACTTGATAGTCCGGAAAGCATTTATTAGCAGTATTTTCTAGTTCAAGTGAATCCTAAGGACACTTGAAGTTAATCTACAGGAAAATCTCGACATGCTAAATATTTCAGACTTAGAAAAAGTTGAGACATTTTATATTTTAATTAAGGTTTACTTTTTTTCTTTCTACTTATGTTGCGACTCGTTTTATATTTTGAGATACATTTCGTCACCATCTTTTTATTTAATCTTTCACAGACGTGATAAGATCGTCATTACATGCATTATCAAACAACATTATTGATATATGATAAACAGTAATATTAGAAGTGAATTAGACTTTGTGAACGTACTATACGAGTTGAATTCTTTTCTACTGAAATTTTGCTGTTGAAAACTAGCTACGTTCTTCTGACCTTTAATTATTTAATGCGTTTTACACAACATCAAATTGAAAAACTATCTTTTTTTATGCTAAATACTAATGTCTTGTGTAGTGAGGGGAAAAACTAAGATGCTGTTATTTTTGTACGTGTTACCCTCACCTGCCATCAACAGAGCCTACATATTTTTTTTTCTCGGCTTTAGTCAAAACTAATCACGAGTATTCTATTCTTGATGCGAACAAAAGTAATTCTCTAGATCAGAATCAAAACATTTTCTAAACTGTCAAAAAAGGTTTAACTGTTGTGTGACTTAAATCGAGCGAAACTGAGGAACATTATACAACATTCACTTGATAAAATTCTACCTAATGCTCCAAGGAATGGTGATGATATGCTTTTTATTGTGAATAAAAATCGCATTTCGTTATTAATAAGATTTTAGAAATATCATAATTCTAAAGAAATGTTTTATAACTCATGCTCACAGATAATAACATTTTTTTCTTTAATCTGACAGGTACTCATTGAAATGTCTTTGAAATACGTAAATATGAATTCAACCATAGGGCACAATATAATCATGAAAAATCTTCTTGTCATTCTCTCTATATTCTATCATTTGATCATAAATATTTATATATTAGTTTAGTCGAGCAGAAAATATCATAGTTTCTTTTTTCCACTCTACTTTTCTCTTTAATATTCGTTTGGTTAAAGTCAAGCAAAAATATACGAATGAATCAAACTTACCATCACTGACACGACCGAACTGCATGCATACATAATCCTCTACAAAGTAAATGTAAAAAATAATTAAAATTCAAAAAAACAAAATCTTCTAGGGTATAATGAGTCCTTTGAGTGTTAAACAAATATGAAAAAAAACATAGAATTTTCATAAAAATAACTTTTTCAACATAAATTTTAATGAATAACAAAATATATATTCGTTTATGTACGTGCCTTTTAGTGTCTCATCTTATGCAAATTTTAGTTTTTGTTATTTTGTCACTTACGATCATTATCATGTACAATTTGGAAATTTTTCACTGATGCCTGTGTTACTCGCCCATGAAAATTAAGTACATAAGATTGAGTTTCTAATTACAGAAAGTAAAAGAAAAACAATTTGGAAAGGTCTCATTTCAATTTCAAAATCACAACCTTCATTCCACACAGGTGTTTTGTTGTGTAATTCGAGCACATTCTCCATTCTAGTATGTCTCCATCGTTCAATCAAAGATTCTGATTCCTTGAAAAACAAGAAAACAGAAACGATAAAGAAAAACGAAAAGTAAATCACAATAATTTACATTTCTTGGTCGAACTTCAACACGATGATGATCACTACTCATGCCAGGAATAAGTATTGTCATTTTACGTGGTCCTTTAAAACCCAAAATATTGGTTTCCTAAATAAAAAGAAATGAATGTTTTTTTTATTTACTTCTTTTGATCTAACATGATACACATACATAAACAATTGCAGCTACTTCTCGGCGAATTTGCTCAACCGGGCTAGAAAATAGGATGATTTTTGTTTTGTCATAAATATTTATTTTCATTCGAAAAAAAAAACTTACGTATTCTTCTTGGGATTGGTACCATTATCATAAACAGTAAAATGTGTACCTAACATATTGGCTCTAGAACACATTAGTGTTTTTTTAAATTTCATAATTGTCCAATAAGATAATTTTCTATATACCTTAATTTTCCAGTAAATCTTTCTCCATCACGAGATAGGTCTGTTGCATCAGTTGATATTAAATAGTTTGATGTTGCACTACGTCGACGTTTACGTCCGGCAAGAACAAAAAACTAAAATTATGGTAAATTCATCTATTTTCTTTTGGTTTTAGATTTAATTTGTTCTTACTTTTTTTCCATCACCCGGTCTTTCAACATGCATAAAATATGTTGGAAAAAGGCCTTTTTCCATGCCACGTTTATCACGTGTTATACGACATTGAATATCACCGAAACCATTGGGTGCTGGTGTATAAACAAATCTATCTAAATCTTCTGTAATCATTTCAAATAGTTCTCGTATTGCTAATGTTAATGCTGGCGATGGAGGTATTGTTGCATCTTGATTCACAGGATTACCTCCAATGAGTGATGATACTGGAACTTCTGAATCAGTCGGCGCTGGTGACCATGGTTTGATAGGTATACGATCGCTATCATCATCGGAATCTGCATAATTATTAAGAGAACCTTTAGCTGCTAATGGTTCAGAAGAAGGTACAACACACTCATTAGAGGATATTTCGTTTTTTTGATAATGTTGTGTATTATTTTTTGGCACAACATCATCAGTTTGTGCTAATGGATTATTATGGTTATTACCAGGTGATGATGACGAAGAAGCAAACTTTTGGTTATGTTTGCGACGATTATTACGACGAGCTGTTTTAGAAGAGTGCAGATGATCATCATGCATGTTGGTGAATTTCATATCTTTAAAATTAGGGTGCACAACATAAACAAAAACACAAACAAATAAATACTTCTACGTAGCATAGCATCATCATCACTTCCATCCACATTGTGTTGCACGGAAGAAAAAAGCACATCATTTCAGTGGATGGATGAGAACGGTGTGAATGCTTCGTACTAGTATGAACTAAAGCAATAAGCATAAAGACGAAGAGAATGCTTTTTGTCGCAATACTTTCATTAAGAATGACAGTGTGTATTTTTTTTTTCGTATACTTTTGGAGTGTAACAGGGTACTTCAAGGACAAAGACACGATGTTAATTCATCTATGAAATGCATTAGAGATCTGTCTGTTGTCTTAAATTATGTCTGCACCAAAGTAGATAGATAATACTCTTAAGTATAGAATATGCATGCATGAAATAAAAGCAATAACAAATAAGAAAAGCGTTATAAGCTCATTCAAATTTTCGTTTTTGTTAATCGTATAAAGCATAGCATACCATTCAATCTTATTTCATCTCCATCGTCAAGAGTTGATGATGATGATGGAACACCGGTTAGTCGTTGATTTGCGTCTATTGAACGATTTATTGATGTTGACTTGACGGACGTGGCAGTTGATGGACGAGAAGTATCTGCATTATTTTTCTGATATTTACAGGGAAAAAAACGAATATCGATTTCAAAATTCTTTTCAAAATGAACAATTCTTACTCCTATCACTTTTACATTCGGAGTTATCCGAATCGTACGCAATGGTTCAGTCGGTGGAAAAGCGATTGAACGAGTATTACCATTAAATGAAGTTGGTTCACCATCGTCTGGATGAAATGAATTGTTGTCGAATCCTACGAGTCGAGAATAGCGTGCCATTAAAAAGATATTTCAATATAAGAGAGAGATTAGAAATTAGAATCTTAAGATTTTTGCTCTGGATGAGTTGTTGTATTGTGTAATAATATAATATAAATAACCAAGATTAATGTAGGGTCGTGAGGAAAAGGAAAAAAAATGACTACATAATGAGTAGTAAAAATGGAAAAAAGAGGTCGAGGCTGAATCCTTCTTATTCTACGCTAACTAACATGCAATTACAGATAACCATTTTATTAGTGTGGTCCAGAATAAGAAGAAGAAAAAACACGCCTCTGCATTGATGAATCCTAAGAAAAACCTTAGATTAATCTCGAAGAGTAAATGCGAACAATAGTAATCGATTTGCTGTACCTTTTATATCATCCGAAACTGGTGTATCTGTTCGATGAGGTGTTCGTCGAGTTCGTAGGTCGCCAGCACGCTTTATCATTTCTTGCTAGAAGATATAAAAATTAAATTAAATTAAATTAAATATTTGAAGTTTGAAATCAAAGAAAATATTCTAACCTTCTGATTTATTCTTTTCCTATCAAATTTCTGATAAGATGTCAGAGAATTTTGATCATCATCATCATCTGAGATCCTAGAAATACCGAAAAAAACAATTTAATTTTTTTTGTTTCTAATTGATAGTTCCTCAAAACACAAACTCACTGTCCTGGCATACGTTCGTTGTTCATCGTTGTATCTTATTTTACTTTTTGTTTTGATATTACAACATTGACTTATATATACATAGATCTGCAAATAATAGCAATATTTGAATCATATAATAAAGAAGAAGAATATAAACATCAAGACATCGAAAATAGTATCGATTGTCATAGTTGATTTCGTTGTTAAGTACGCAACGAAATGAGATAGTCGTCATATACAAAAAAAGGAGAGAAATGAAAGAAAATGAGTGTTGTATTCATTCGAACTCTCTTATCAGTCTATTTTATTCGATGTGTTTGTCGATGATGCCAACGCAATAGCAAGATATATTAATCGTAACATATTTACACAAACAAAAGAAAAGAAAGTCTCAAGATAGAACATGTTCTAAATGTAAAACAAAAGAAACGTTCTTTTGATACATTAAACTTCAAAAGAATTATTTCATTATTCAAATAAATATAAATATATAGATGCGTAGAAGAAGGATTATGTGTTATGTAGACTTTTACCTAATTGTTTCCCATAAAAAAGCTAATAAAATAGGAGAAGAATAAAAGATACCGACTTCAAAGATGTTGAATAATTGGGCAAAACCAATACTAATAATATAAATGTACTTTGATAAAAAAAAAGTGTGACTAATTCCAATTAATGAACACTATATAACTCTTACCATTTCTTTAACTTTTCTCTATTCGTTCCATCTGTTGTTGTTGCTTTTCTTATTTTCTTTTCTATTTCTATAAGTGTTCGTGTCATCGTCAGACAATAAAGAAAGATAGAATAAGAAAATGATGTTCTGTCCTTTCCTCAGATTTTTTTCTTTTCTTCCACCGTTGTTTTCTCTTTTTATTAACCATCTGGAGAAAAATATTTCTCACAGCGGAAGAGAATTATAGTCAAAAAAAAAGGAAAGAAAAAGAAGAGAAAAAAGAAAGATGCAGAAAAAGGAAAGAAGGAGCTCTGCCCATGAAAATTGACGGATCACAAGGTTGTAAAAAAGAGAAGAAAATAAAAAAATAAAGCACATCTTCACCTAGAACAGCAATTAACACTGTACACTTGATCGTTGGTAACTTCTGAGAAAAACGTTTTGAAGAAAAACGAAATATGATTCAAGTCAAGATGTCGTTATAGTTTTAAGATAGCCGGAGATTAGTCATTATATAATCAACCATGGTTTTGTTCGTTACCAGGCGACTAGCCTTCAATATGATTTGTATTTTAAATTTAGAAAGAAAAACGAAATCAATGATGTCACTACTAACGTCGTCATGTAAAGGAACTGATTTTTAATAACATAGCAATGACTAAAATTTATATATTTTAAATGTCCTTCACGAGACTTTTACCTGAAAATGATGATGATGATAATAATAATAATCAAACAGATTTATCATCAGGAACGGGCGTGATTGTAAAAGATGTTGTTCCTCGTTCAATGAATGATATTAACGATTGTTCATGTATATGTTCATGTTGTCCAACTGTGTCCGACTGGTGTATAAAAGATGCTCTTGGTTTATCGTGTGGTGTTATGACATGGATTCTCTTTGTATATGCGGAATTCGTATTTGTTTTTGTTATTTTAACAACAAAAAGTTTTTCATCATTATTTTACTTCATAAATTTTTTAATCTTTCATTGCCTGCAATTTCTTGCCATTTCATCCCATTTACGAACGATGTTTTCAAATCCAGTATGCATAAATTTACGAATTATATTATTCATTTTGTTTTAAATATTTAGGGTGCTGTACCATTGAAAAATGCTACGCCAGAAAATCTACTTAAATATGAACATGGTGCAACTGTCTATCGATGTGCTATGTGCCAAAGTATAAAACCACCTAGAGCACATCATTGTAGGTACTAAGATTTTACATCTTTGATCATATAAAGAAAATAACTATTCGAAAGTTAATCACATGTTTGAATAACATTCAATTTGAAACAAACGAAGAAGTAGGATATTAAAACTAAGGTAGAAACTTATTAAGCTATTAGATGCACTTTAAAGTCATCGCATAAAAATATAGATCTACTTTATATTTCGATTTTTAAATTTAATAGTCTTACTTATCTTACTTATTATCTCTTTGCAATCCTTGTTTTAAATGATTTTTTAATTTAACGCTATACTTGTATCAAACATATTGATAACTTATCTGTCGTTGAGTCGCACAATTTCTTTTCATTAAAATAAGATTTTAAAATATCAAATCAAATTGAAAAGTATGCCGTAGTATTAAAATATTATTTTCCCATCGACTACGCATCAATGTTCAAATTTCCACGTCTTGCGTTCTACGATGCTTGATTCTTTTAAATTTTCAAGTTGTCTTAGTGGAACTGTAAAGCTCTTTAATTTGTCGGTATATTTTGTTTTTACATAGTAATACCTCCGTGCGTAGTGAATACACTCATCAGCGTGTAACTTTATACTGAGACAAGGCAGTGACGTATATAGTGAAAACGACATTGTTGCATAAAACACGTGAATTAATCTAGAATTTGCTGGCTGAGAACAAATATAAAGAAAAACATATAAGCATTTTAGAAAGAAAAAGTAACATTCTGAATTTAAGTGAAAACATTTGAAAAAATTTCGGTGAACGAGTGCTCGGTGACGTATGCAGCTGTACTATTTTTTACTACTGTAGAAGTATGAATAAGAGAACAGAAAATTCTCAAAGAATATTTTGAAATAATAAAAATACTCGAGAAGAAATTTCGAGCAGTAATTTATCTAAGAGACTAAATAAACGATCAGCAAATATCATACTCGGACAAAATGATGAATAAAAAAATATTATTGCTCTTCTTCTTCTTCAACTGCTTGTCAAAGTATCCCACTATTGCCTAGATTTCAATTAAAACAAAAACAACACGAAAGAGAGATAAAATAACCTTGAATTGTTTATTAAATGTTTTCCATATTCTACACCAAGGAAGTGTCTCTCTCTACTGGGACTGGAACTATTTAACCAGGGACGGCGCGAAGCAACAAAAATATAGGGGTGTTACCTGAAAACGGGAGGTTTTTTTTCAAAAATCGGAGTAAATCAATAAAAATCTCTTCTATTTTCTTCAAATCGGCGTAAAATTGAAACAAAAATTTCCAAAGTTGGGGGGAGGAACCCCCTCCCCGTTCGTGCCNTGTAGTTTTCATAAAGTTTTAGAAGGTTTTCCAAGAAGCATTCGATTTTTCAAACAAAAAATTGTTCGGACACTTGTATTTTGTTTCTTTATCACAGCTCTGTTTTCCATCGAAACATTTTGCATTACATGACATCTGATAGAGAAAGCATTTCTCAATACGCTGGTGTGTATAAAAATTGAGAAAGATGCTAAGATCATGCCGAAAAGTTTTCGATGCCGGCAGCACCATAGGTTTTACAGAAAATCACCGTATTTTGGCTTCACAAAAATGAAAATCGAACTCAAAATATACCATCTAAAAGAGAAAAAAACGCTGATTGCAAATGTCTTTTGTTTTTTAAAATTCTGAAATATTATGTGTAATCATTTATAATTCAAATTAATACTCAATGCACTTCATCTGATATTCTCAATTTTCAATCAGCTAAATGTGTTTTTAAAGTTTTTTGAAATAGACAGACTTCTAGAAAATAAAATTCTCTACAAGATAATATGCTTGAATGCCCGATAGCTATTTTCCTTAGACACGATGTACATCTATCCGTAGACATAATTTATTGAGAAAGAAAAAAATGTTTTTTTTCGTTCTGTTGCTTTCTCTATATAGTAAGTATATGCGATGATAGCGAAGGATGAAACTGAACAAAATTGAACTTGAATGGATAGGTATATACATCGTCCTAAGAAAAATAGCTATGGTGCATTCAAGCACATCATTCTATAGAGAATTTTAATCTCTACCAGCTTGAATCATTTAAATACTTTTGTACTTCAATTGAGTTGTTTAAAAATTGAGAATATTAGACGTGCTGAAGAAAATATTAATCATAATAAATGATTATTACGCTTAATATTCGAAAATTTCGAACAAAAAGACATATTTGGAACCAGCGTTCTTTTCTCTTTTAGACGGTATATTTTGAGTTCGATTTTCATTTTTGTGAAGCCAAAAGATGATGGTTTTCTGTAAAACCTATAGTGCTACCGGTATTGAGAACCTTTCGGTATGGTCTTAACATCTTTCTCAATTTTTATACACACCAGCGTATTGAGAAATGCTTTCTCTATCAGATGCTATGTAATGCAAAATGTTTCGATGGAAAACAGAGCTATGATAAAGAAACAAAATACAAGTGTTCGAATAATTTTTTGTTTGAAAAATCGAGTGCTTCTTGGAAAACCTTCTAAAACTTTATGAAAACTACATTATGGAAAAACTATTTCCTATGCAATAGAAAATAGAGATAATGACCTATCGAATGATGTAATCAGAGTTTATAAAATATATTTCCTTCACTCAGAAATTCACTCAATAAAATTCGTGTAGTAGGGTGCCCGAATAATTCTTTTACATACTATATATATATATATATCTTATTTTATAATTATTTATTTAAATTAGTATTTGCAAACGATGCATAAAACGAATGGATCATCATTGTGTATTTGTTAATAATTGTGTTGGACAAAATAATCAAAAATATTTTATTTTATTCACGGTAAGAATGATGCAAATATCTAAGAAAAAACAGATGACATTCTTATGTAAGACTTACTCTTTAACATACTAATCATATTATGAGATAATACAAAAAAATTCTCTCATTTTATCTTCTATACTACATACAAACTTGTATGTTCGTGACATGATTATGAAAGAAAAAAGATTAGCAATCGAAGATTTGTCAAGATATTTCATTCTTCCACATCAAATTACTGTTCAAGAGCCTTTTTATCTAATGACAAAGCGCAATTTTTTGTTTGAAAAAAGATCGAATAGATGATTGAATTTATTTTATATGACATTAACATATGAAAATAACTTATTCTAATACTTCTACTAAGTACATACTTATCTTATCGTAAAATCAACATGCGTTTTTTTCTTCAGTAGACGATTTGCTTTTTTTGTATAAATATATATTATCTTATATTTCATGTTCTGTTCGATGTCTGTTAATGATTTATATATATATATATGTAGTTGTTTATTAGGGATTATCACATGAATTATCTTAAGAAATAGAAAAGGCTTCCCTATTCCAAAAGATCCGAGCTTTTTTTATAATTAAAAAGAAACGTTGATAACGGTTGATTCAATCTTTTTTTATCTAAAAGGTTTCAAATAAATAAGAAGGAAGCGAGCTTAACATAATGTAGATCTAATGATATTATATTACTGATGCAGAAAGACACAGTCAATGTATGGCTGCCTAGGGAAAAACTCTTCTATTATATGATACAAAATTTTATGGATTTTAATAAACGGTGAACTAATGAAAAACTAAGAGAGCGTCTCGTTGCATAAGCCCCACTGACCTTGTCTAAAACACCTCAGATTTCAAAACGAATATGAGCGAAATAGAAAGAATTAAATTGGAGAAAAATCATTCCAAAATTTTTACGTTTTTATCGATTGAGCTGCTCATAGTTTTAATGATTTGGTTTAGATGATATCACAAATATAAACCTTTTTCTGCATTAAATCTGACATTTTGTTAGAGGATAAATAAGACGTTTATATAAAAGAATGTAATGACAAGTAATCCCAGGTCAATTACATACGGCGAGAAAAAGTCTGATCCGGGGATTTTCCATCAAATTCCTGAAGCAGTATTTCGAATCATTTTCTGATATCCGTTTCCAGGGTATTTCCCGTTAATTACTGGCTCCAGAAGCGATAAGCGGATACGGTTTTCTTTTACAGTACGATTCCGATGGTTTCTTTTTGGCGATTGGCAACGAAGAAATATAAATAGTTTCCGATCTAGATACGTAGCCAGGATTTGACCCTTTTCAATCCGGGATGTGGAATTCGGATTGCGCCGTTCGACCAACCGGATCCGGCAAATAAAAACTATTCGATGCTTTCTTTTTCTAATTGAAAACAAATTTGTGAATTTCACGGACAAGTACATATTTATTATTGGAACTACGAATCTGCAGAATTACTGCTTAGAGTTGGATTGAAACTAACTTTCCAAAAAGCATTACAGAAAGTCGAATAAACAACATTTTTAGATTGAAATCAATAGATTAATGAATTTAACTGGATTTTATTGTTGATTCTGTCACATAAAATCTTTACGATATATTGTTAATCTAACTAGTTTTGATTAATATTACATACCTAATGTAATACTAATTGCTTTTGGCATAAACCCCATTAAAATTGGATTGCCACTATGGAATACAAATAGGATGAGCACAGTTTAATTGGTCATATTTTCGCATGTGTTTACTCTATCGGATACTAAGATGGTTAACATAGGAGTTAATATTAGATTTGTATTTTTTCACTTTATCTGTAACATTTTAATATTTTTAAACAGTAGCTATCAGCAATTATAAAGCCTAAGGCTAATGACAGCATCTTTTTGCATCGCAATAATTGCTCATATCTTTTATATTTGTGTCTAAATCGATTAACTTGATAATAGTTTGAGGTAGATCATCATCTTATACAGGCATGTAGAAGTACAAAAAGTACATAGAGATAGATTAGAAAAATATTTTTTGATTAATTATTGATTCGAGAGGAATCTATTATAAGAAATACAAACTCTAAAAATGAAGTGATTTCGTGCATCCGCATCCTTAAATTGGATTATAACCTATGCAGAAACTTTACAACAATCATCAAGCGTAATGAATTCTTTTGTGTGTTAATGTTGAAGCTCGTAACCAACCTGCATTGATATGAATCGTTTGTAATCAATTTTATGTCAATAATGATTCCATCATGATTCAAGTAACATCAAAGTTACTGATTCATAGAGTCTGTGTGGTTCTGTTGTTTTTTTTAATGAAGTCGTTAAACGCTACAAATAATTTCATTTGAATATCGCTCGAATACTGAACAATTTTTGTGAGATTTTTGTCTAATATTTTTAACTTTTGAAAGAAAACAATACTAACAATGTAATCGATTTGTAATTCATTAAAATTAATCGTGACCTTTTCTACTCCTCACTTTACTCAATGCATAGTGTCTGTCAGATAAATGAATTTCATTTTATTTCGAGAAGAACAAACACATATAGAGCCACTTCCATTTTAAGATGATCTGACAGCAGATATCAATAAATGATAAACTTTTGTGCCGTTCCCTATTATCCATCAAAGCATTATCAGACGACATTTCTATGACAGCGATAAGGGTAACTACAATCTCTGTTGTCATATTATTCCAAATCTAGAACTGTGAAAAAGTATTTCGACGTCTAAATAGCAGAGAATGTGAATTTTGTGAAAGCTTTTTCAAGAAGTAGAGCTGGACTGATAAATTCATTTTTTTGATCATCTCTCTAGATACATACGTCCTTACGTCTATATCCAATCTGACTAGTTTGTGACATCTTACACATGTCCACGACTTTCTAAAGATTTCGATATACACTGAAAAATATTGGAAAGCATTAGAATTTTTTCGAAACACCAGAATTCGGAAATACAGATACTTTTTGTTCCATTTTGGTTCTCACCTGCGTACACCTGATGCTGATACACATTAAAGAGCTATGGAAAATCACAATGTATGTGACCCACTGTATCTTGACTGACATATTTTTTTTTATGTACTCAAGCAATATGTTACCGAAAGGGAATTATCACTTAAAAATTCTCTTAATGGTTTAACGAACTCGAAGTTCTCCAAATACCTTTGCAGTGACACTGAAGATTTTCAAGAACCTTCACCAGTATTCGAAAGACTTTTCAGAATTGCGCAAAAGTTTTTATAATTTTTGAAGACTTTTTATGATTTCTTTATATATCGTGATATTTCTACCTTTCACTAGTAGAAAGTCTAAAAAACAGCTTGGCTACTTAAATTACATAACACGGACTATTCAGAAATAGATGACATTGGCCCTATAAATAGAACACCACACGCCAACATAACTAGTTCATTCTAATCGTAACACTTTTAGTAGTAATGTGGATCGAAAATCAACTAAAAGCCCAGTCAGCAATAGCAATGCGTTCAGCTTATCATCACTATGGCAGATCATTGATAATTCAACTGAAAGTATTTTGCACACTTACCAGATGAGTTGCATATGAGAGTTTTAAACATCTTTCAAATCTGTTTCAAAGAAAAATCCTGCAAGATATTTCTATAAAGATCGAAAAACGTTGAAGCCATTTAGATTAAGCCTGGATTATATTTATTCCACACCCACATTAAGAATATACTGAGTCATGTGCTAAAACAAATACTATGAAAGAATCCATAATCATACTGCTTTTCCGGTGTCTTACTCAGAACTTATAAAAACATTCTATAACAAATAACCAAGATGAACAAAAATAGATTTTCTCCAGTATCATTCTAAATTGCCTTCTAACAATTTCGCGTTCGTTGATTCCAGACTGCTACGCTCATATATACAGGTCACTAATTAGGAAATTGAACTCTTCTTTGAAAAAATTGAAATAGTTTTATTAGACATACTGCTCGAGACAAACATCTTTCCTAATTCATAGCTAAAAGTAAAGTAAAAAATCTTAACCGACTTCACAATTGAGAATATAGGGAGTAATGGGGATTCAGCTTACGCGTTTATCTACGTACTTTCACAAATAAACAAGGATCATATATTTATTGCTACCCACTAATATATCCTTCAAACTGAGTCTAAATCGGAAAATACACATGATTACATACATAGATACAGAAAGAGAAAATTACTTTTCCCGTCATTCTAAGAAACATTGATGATGGGTTTTGATCTAATAATCGTTGTATATTTCAACTAATTATATGTTCACGTAGAAGTTCATCATATGAGCACACTGACCAAAGTACCATTTTAAAACGCCGCCCTCAATTCTCTAGTAACATTTGCTAGAAAAAACTTCGTAAAAGTAAACATATTTTGTTTCTTCTCCTCGTATACCTTCTACTTGAGGCAATTAAAAGTCTTTCTCGGTGGTTTTCAGATGAAAGGTCTTGAACAATACGCACTAAATTATAAAGTATTGTATCTATTTGTCGCAAGTTATAATGCTGGCGATTCTATTATGAAAAAGAGTCACAATTAGAATTTGTCGCAGAAACGGTCCAATCTTTCTGGCTAATTAAATGATAATTAGAGTATTTTAAAGTCTCACACATTAAGATAAAAAAAGATTTTTTAAGGTGATAATTAAGCAAAATCTTGCCGAACATAATTATTTCATGCTTAAGCGTTGTAAACCCGTTAAAGACAGTGTGACGCAGATAAATTCAACTGATTCTTTGTACTGGCGATCCATTCACCGTTGTATTTTAAACTAAAAGCTACATATATACCACACGATTCAACACCCAAACTTTACAACTTTTTCATCCTAATTTTCATTCTCCATTATTTATTCAGTAGCAAAACGTAGTCTCAATGCATCAATTTCAATATTCTATACCTATCAAATGCACTTCTAGTAGGTATTGCAAAGTATAATTACTAACACTTAAACGGTAGAGTCATTGAAAGGTCTTCCTCGCACAATAACGCTTATCTAAGATATTTAACGATATGATCCATACCGTTTGAAATTGAAATGTCTGAAAAAAACTTCGAAGTCAATATCTTCCATTTGAACTATTTGAAAGTCCCCTTCACTGACTTTTATCTAGAAAGGTCATTGGAGATCTTTCTGGGTCCATACCACTTGTTTGAGTTTTTTTTTCTAAGTCTCCTTTATTGTGTTTCAATCAGAAGGATCACTAAAGATCTTTCCCATTCTACCATTTCCATTTCAGATATTTGTAAGTCCGATTCGTTGCATTTCTTCAAAAAGAATCATCACATATCCTTCTTGTTCAATATCCCATATTTCAGATATTTTGCAGTCTCCCTCCTCCCAATCAATCATGACCGACGCTTAAAGGTCTATCTCAGTCACTACCTTCCATTTGAGGTATTTGTACGGATCATTTCTTGCGCTTTGTCTACAAGAAACCTTGAAGATCTTTCTTCATGAATACCACTTGTATAAAGCATTTCGAACTCTCATTCGTCGCAATTTATCCAGAACGTCCTTTCAGGATCAGTTTTGATAAAAGTGAATGAATGCGTCTTGCAAATACCTCAAGTGGCAGGTACTGAATCAGAAAGATAGTTAGGCGTGTTTCGAAGCCGATTGCGATGGAGGATATTTGGAAATATCGGAAATTGATAGTAGTCAGATTGGGATTTCTTCACCTCTGCTATGGTATTGTGAGCCATTGTGAAGTAGTGTGTGAGGTTAGTAGTATTATCGGGGCTGGTGGTTAGTTTACTTTGTTGGGTGTGCGTGTATCCTTGATGAGGATCTGTGGCGTTAGCGGGAAGTCTTCGCAAGATCGCAGGAGGATTGAAACTTCCGGAATTTTCCTAACTGGAATCGGTCGGATTCTGGTGAGTCGTGCGAGGGTCTTGTTTTTGCTCCTGATGATTACGATTCGGTTCCCGTAATTTTTCCGAATGGTTACGGCCGCCGAAATCTCCCGATTACAATACGGTGATTCCCAAACGGAATACTGCTTCCATCTTCCGGATAGGTTTCCCGTCCGTTTCCAGTGGGAAAAGCGTTGAAAATTATTGGAATTCGCCGTTTCCTTGCGGTTCCTGTCGTTTTCGGAGACCGGAATCATCGAGTTGGGATATTGAAAATTGCTTACGAGAAATGTCAGCCCAGGTCGAATATTCCGGTCACCGGATCCCGTAGGATACTCCAGGAAATATATGTGAAAGTTACCAAATTCTGCAGGAAAACGCGGGAAATCGCTGGAACACGGAAGCAGTATTCTGGTCAAAAATACGGTCGGACTTTTCCGGCGGATTCCTGCCAAGTTCCGGTGCTTTCTGGCGGAAATTGATCGGAAATCACCGGAAAATTTCCAACAGGAATACTGGATTCACAAAATCAACGAAATTACCCGGAACCGGCCGTTCCCAGGCTGGACTGTTCGACCCGAGAGTAAATCAAATAAATTCAGAGGGGTAATAAAGAGAAATTGTAGTAATTAAGTGAAAAAGCAAGCATGAAAATAGGATTTATCATCATGACATTTATCAACGAAAATATAAAAATAGATTTCTTGTAGTTTTTCGAAAGAATCTACAAGATATTTTTGTAGACTTCATATAGACTGCAATGACAACTATGAATTCAGTTGTCAATCAAATAAACCGACGTTTTATTAATCAATATACTACAAAAAAAACCAAAATATTTTTTCTCCCCCGTATTCTAGCTTTATACGAGTATCTTATCAGTCTATGGATTAGTTATCATTGGTATTCATCTAACTAGGTGTATCTCGTCGAATTGGGCTGGTTAGTAATTTACTGATTATATGCTCATCTATTAATTTTCTTCTCATAAAACTTTCAATAGATTGTCCTGTTTGGTCACCACCACTCTCGATAATTCTCGCGATATCTCTTGGTTTAGAAGGATTAGCTTTCTCAACATTTACTGGGATCATGTTCTTTTCACAATTATATTCCATATATAGTGATACAAACGTATGTTTTTTTTTTTTGCAGAGAAAAATTAAAACTGAATATTTTTCTATGCTTGTTTTAGCAAATTGAATCATTTAAAAGAGTATCCAATTTACGTCGAGAAGAAAAGTCGCTTATAGAATCATTAAAAATAGTTTTTGGATCAAAAATTGGTTTAACATGGCTAAATCCGTTTTCAGTACCAATCGATGTAATTACTCAAAACGATGAACGTATAACATTTGATGTTTAAATGATTAGATATATCTTTTATTATTTTAAAGAGGACTGTCCATGTTATAAAAATCGCGTCACTTTTGCCGATTAATCACGATATTAAACCAAAATCGCGATTAATGGCCACTTTGGTTCAATATCGTGATTAATCGATAAAAGTGACGCGCTTTTTATGACACAGGAGATATTAAACAAATAATACTAACACACAAACACAGAACACTAACTGCGGAATTAATCGAAAATGTTATTTTTTATTTTTTATTATTTATGTCATTTGTAGCACTATTTTGAAGTTTTCTTAATGCATCAAATATAATACACATGTCACCTTTGAGATCCGATATTATTTGTGCAACATGTTGTGTATTTGAAACAATTTCAATACTTTGATTATACGGATTGTATCGAACCGCAAATGGACGTTTTATTGATAAAGCGAATTCTCTACAGAAAGAAAAAGATAATCGTATATATAAAATATTATTGTACGTTTTTACTGTTTTATGTTACCTCATTTTTTCTTTTGCTTCAACAAAACTAGCTGAAACAAAATATTGGTCTTGATAGGTCGTAATTAAACATGTTTGTTTACAAACAACATCTGGATCAAACGCTATCTTTTTTGCCTTATCGCTTAATGCATGTTCCAATTCAGCACATGACGAAAGTAAACCAGCGCCATATGCACGAAGACCATCATTTTGACGACATAAACCAAATTCAATTGTGAAAAAATAACACTAAAATAGAAATTTTATTAAATTCCAAAGACTTAAAATTCATCGATTGACTTCTAAAAATATTTTATTCTAAGTTTATTAGTGGAATCAGAGGAGATATGAATGGTTGTATGTTTGTCGCCGCAGGGCATTGGCTGAACTGCTAGCACTGATCTATAGATCAAATTGTTCTTCTTAATATATTCTATTGATCTTAAATAGCAAAAATTCAGCCTGAAATTTTAAGTATGTTTGTTTTCTATTCGATGATCATTGTGCGAAATAAAGAAAAACATAAAAGATTGATTTGTTCATTGGAACTATTCGTTCTTTTTTTTTACTCATATTTCATTCTATTAGTCCTTGGAATTTAAATAAAACTAAGTGTTTTCAGATCATAACTCAAATGTATTTTGTGATAAAAATTATTTTACCGTTGCCAAACGATTAATATCTTCTTCTGACGCACCAATTGCAGCAAGACCAATTTCATGAGAGAATTGAGCAAAATTTGGATCTGCCAACAATGGTATATGACCAAGTAATTCATGGCAACAATCTCTAGAATAAATAAAAAAAGATTAAACCTCTCTTTCAAGTTGGTGCGGAGAATTCATCTTACGGTTCTGGTGTATATGATGGATTCGATGAATGTCGTATATATTGTGTACAATGAAAAACTCGAAATGCTAAGCCATATAAGAAGTCTCTTGGTGATAGATAACCTGCGACTGGCCGTAGTGTAAAACCAGTTCGATCACGAAGAAAACGTGATATGTCTTCTAGTTGAGGAATATTGTCTTCTCTAAGAATAAATTCAAAAACAAAACAAATTATGATTCCAAAAACTATAAAATTTCCTAGTACCGAAAACTACATTTTTCTCTTAATAAAGGCCAATTAGCCAAATATTCAGTGCATGCATGTGTCGGATACAATCTATTTAAATTTCGAAATACTACGCCCCATGTGTCCGTTTCTTCTTTGGTATATTGTACACGTGGAATTGGATCTCCACTAGACAATAAAATGAATTAAAACAAAATTGAAACTGTAAAATTACTTACTGTTTGTATGCGATTGCTACATCATGAAAATACATTCGACGTGCACGATAAACTGGATCAGTGAAACCCTAGAAAACTCAAAATGAATTTATAAAATAAAATAAAAAGGAATTTTTTTGTACTGGATGATCAGCATCAAGATCAACACCATATAGAAGGACTTTGATTGAACATTGATCTAAATCACTGATTCGCCGTGGAAACCATGGTGTTTCTTCTACTACAACTATAAACGTAAAAACGATTTAATTATTTTTTTTTAAAATTTTTGTGCCTAATTTCAATGTGTATAATAAAAGCTCATAATCTACGTTAATTTTTCGAACCTTTTCCTTTCTTATGCTTTTTATGTTGTATTTTTAATTTTGCTAAATTATCTTTGGAAAAATCTTCATCATCAAAACTATTTGTTCGAATGAATCTATTAGGTGGTTCATGCTTTTCAATGACTGGATTGTATAAGGATTGAGAACGATGGAATTCATGTGGATTAAATTTTGGTTTTCGAACATCAATACCAACAGGATAGATCCATAGATCGTCATCTCTTATAACGACAACGGAACCAGTTTTCGAACTGATTGATTGTTCATCGTCACTACTATTATTATCATCAGCTGATATCATTGATGATGTTATGCCATTTATTGCTGGTGCTGTTGGCATTAAAAAATTTGATACCGGATTACGAATAAAACCTGGAATTGTTTGATTTAATGTTGTTATAGGACTTCTATCGATATCCAACGACGAATAGGATGATGCCGGAGAATCTATCATCGGTATAATACGTTGCATTGATGTATGTTGACAGTAGGTACGTAAGCAACATTGATCATTTGAAGATTCAATTGCTACTAGTGTCGAAAGATTTTCGGCCGCGATAACTAATTTATGTAATGATGATAGATTTTCATTCAGACCTGTTATCGTTTCTTGTAAATCAGTTACTGCTCTTGTTCCTGATGATGATGATGATGATGTATCTATTTTTTCAAGATCTTGAACATAACGTATCATATGAATCCAATCATTGGTAACAAATATTGGTAAATATGGAAAAAGTTTTTTTTCACAAATTGTTTGAATTATTGTTAATAAACATGATGTATTTGATAAATTATCTAAACATTGCTCAATTGTTTCAAATACATGTTGATCAATATTTGAATCGATTATTTTCAATGAGTAATTGAGAGAATTTTGTAATCTATAATAGGCTTGTTCTAATTGTGTATTTGTAAAATAACGCTGTAGATTTATTTCAATTTCATTTATTGTTCCATGATGAATTACATTTGATAAATAACATAAAACATTATCATAGCAAAGAACTGACAATGATGAATCATCGTTTGATGAAATATAGAGATGATGATCCAAAGCATGTTGTAAATTTAATGATGATAATTTCAATGAATTCGATAAATAAGTTGTTTTAAACATTGTTATGGATTTTAACTTACGATAAAACGGTTTTTAGGCGAGGGAAAAATTCGACTATGAATGATCCTATTTAGTTCTTAGAAAGAACAAACCTTCAATATATCACTTTTTGAGATTCTTCTAATGAATGCTAACGCGTGAGACAACATGACGGCCATATATGTTTTCTAATAAAATCTTTTGTGTTTTAAGTACTTATTTTCGATCAGTATTATGTGGACGTTAGACTCAAAAGATACAACAAAAATCATGCTTGCAATGTACTACAAATATAGTTAAGTAATTACAGCTGGTGCATCTTTTCATCAGCATTCCTCTTTTTATTAGTTTTATTTTTCTTTTCTTTCTTTTTTAATATAACTTACTTTGACGTCCGATGACTTGTCCATTATGGTCGATAAACGGCGATAAAGGTATCTTATTGAGATCATTGTTTTCATTTGTAATCGTATGAGCCTTGGCATCGTAACTTTTATCTTCGTTCTTAATATTTTCTTTGGGTTCAAGAAGTAGAGTTGGATCAAAATCAACACATGAAACTTGTCTTTTTAATGTGTGCATTGATTTTTCAATATTAGCTTGATCAGCTTCCAAATCAACATAAATTTCATATTCAGAATTTGTTCGATGACAACGACGAGATTCAATGTGAACAACATTTATTTTATTTTCCTTTTCAAAAGAAGAAAAAGAAATCGATAGAAGTAAATTTATTTCGATGCTTATCAGTCTTAAACACATTTATTTTTGATATCTTATATTCTTACTGATAAACTTGCAAAGTTTAAATTCAATTTTAGTGAGTAAAATATATTTGTCAGATTTTCCTCGAAAATGACACATGTGAAGGTTGTTTTCATGTCTAAATGAATAGTTCTTATTTTTTTCGAAGTTTAAATTATATTGAATGAGACGTATCTTTGAAAGAGTGTTTCCTTGTTCAAACCTAATCGAATTCATTATGCATTGTGAGTTGACCTATTCTATAAATTTGGATAAGCTGGTATTATTCGTTGAAATAATAGAAAACTAATATTCGTCAGATGTTTCATTAAAATCGATTTTATAAAATAAATATGCAAGAATATAACAACTGCCAATATATGTCAAGCAACACGACTCTATACAACAGATACTTGGTCTATATTAATAACGATTATTCTTCCACACACACATATATATATATATGCTTTATTCAATCTAAGCTAGTGCATATCGAATAGAATTCTCTTTTATTTGATGTCTATTTTACCTGAAAAACTTGAAGAACTCTTGCTAAACCACCAATACGATTTTTAATTGAAAAAATAAATGACGTTGTTTTTCCTCGTCCAATAAGTGATTGTAATTGTTCTTTGGATATTTCATTGTTGACAATATTTACCGCTTCTTGGTCGTCCATATTTTCATGCAATGTTGATAATCGATGCTAAATGAACAATTTTTATTATAGTTTATAATCTCGTTTGTTTTCCGACTTACTTCAAGGCATCGAAAATACGATGATTTGTAAGACATTGATGAAAACTTGGGATTTCTTTTCTATATTGCTCACTATGAACGTAGATTTGTTTTGATATTGAATGAGAGAAATTGGTTGGTACAGACATCTTTATATAAGAAGCACAAATACGCAATTTAGTATCTTCTCAGGTTTCATTTTCTCTAAAAGAAGAATTGCGTGGGAATAATAGACTTCCTCATTTGCTAGGCAGTTCCATGACAGTAATTACAATCTGATATAGTCTATCTTATCGCTAAGCTATACGCATCTTTAATAGGAATAATCTTTTTTCATCATCTGTTTTTTTTCTGTCTCTAATCGAATACATGAATCAAAAAACAAACAGAGAAGACAAAATACTAACTGAAAAAAATAGGAATTTCAATGGCATCTCGTGTGTGGGAATATGAATTATAAACCTACAACAATTCAGCACACTCTGGTACACATGAATTCACATATATCTAATTTTGTAGAGGAAAACATGATTAATAAAATTTCGATGATAAAACTAGAAACATCCATATGTAATGGCTTGTCTCTTTTACTTGGCTTATTTTTTTTTTAATTTATGAAAAAAAATGTTGTCTTTGATAATGTATTAGTTCATTGTATAGGAAAATGATTGTATGATTGAACTGTGACGCTGGTTTTATGTATCAAAGTGTATAGCATCATAAATCGGATGTGATTTTTCAGGAGAGAGATCTATAGCCTTTCACGTATTACCAATGTATTAATGAAGGTTAATCCCATTTGAATACTACTGAAGATTTAGACGGTGATGACAACAAAATAGTGATTCATTTTGTTTTTAATTGTAGTTAATTGAGCTTATTTACGTAAGCCCATTTGAATATTGTATAATGACACTTTTTTATCTATATTTTATTTCTAAACACGAAGCGACAACTTCACATACACTCGATACCATATCTAGCTAGATATATCTGACAAAAACCGCTCAATTAGATGAAAGATATTGAAAAATAAATGAAGAGATACATGTATGATTTTCTTCGCCTTCTCAGTTAATCATGAAATAGCTGTGAACATAGCTAATTATAGATGATTCAGGTCAATGTTCTCCGATAGGATCCTACTATCAAGCCTGCTGTTATAGGTAGCGATGAAAAATAGTTAAATGGTCAATTGGACTCATTATTGAGAATCATTGCACTAGTATTGATGAATTGAATTATACCTGCGTCTCTTCTGATTATGGGTGGCACTGTTCGTTAATTTAATATTAAGTAATTAAGTGGCTAATGTAAACGTTTTTTTTATTAATATTAAGTGTTAAGTAAAACTACTTAATTAACTCAAATTAAAATCAACGGTCCACCCCTACTTCTAATCTTAAGTGAACGACAAGAAAATATTATCTGTTTTGAGTTACAGTGAACTGTTCTTATATAGAATCAAAACGATTCGAGATACTTCGTTTATGATTATGTGGTCTTTTTTTGCTAAATCTAGTTCTTTTTATTCTCAAAAAAGAATGCGACGAAAGAAACGAAAGCAATTCATCTAATTAGATGAGTCATTGGATGGTATTTAATCAGTGGCAACGAGCGACAAGCAAAACTTGAAGAACACGAAACAAATATGTATCTTCATTTTCTAGCAAAGTTACTTAAGAATAAAACTAACTCAATCTCATCTTCTTCTCGATGAAAATTAGTTTCCAATTAATCCACGAGTTCCTACAGATAACTAACTAGAGGAGTTGATACAAGTTTACCTAGGAAATAAGAAGAACCGAAAAAATTGCAGAATTCAGATCATACTGCTACTACACTTAAAATGAAAGCTTCAACGAATGAAATGATCAATTTCATACCCTTTGAACAACATGCGCGTCGAACAGTTAAATTTGATGATGATAAAAGTCCTTCTAAACAGACTTCAAATCGGCCGATTTCCACATTCAATGTAAACTTTCGATCACCGAATCGCAATTCTATACCAAATGATTCACAAGAAGCAGAATCTTCTAATAATCAACATATATTAGATGCTGGTATTCATCTCAATCAAACAAATCTTACAGCACAAGATATTAAAGCTCTCGTAAGTAGAGTTCAATGTATCTTCTAGAGACAAAGCTTCGAAAATTGTCAGATCAACGTCATATTGAAATGATTTGAGATTATAAGAAAATATTATTTTCCAATCGTCAAATTTTATAATATTAGATATATCGATTTGTCTTTTTTTCCTGAATGTTAATAATTATTAATAATATTCATATATTTAAAGATTGCTGAAGATGAATATGTTCCAGGCGGTTTTGCTAATCTCGAACGTGAATTGGAAGAAGAACTTCTAAATGATTTTGTCGATGAATTCGATGAAGAAAAAACACGAAGAAATCGTCATATTTCTTCCACTCGTACCAGTGATCATATTATTAGTAGTAGTCGATCACCCATCGAACTATGGCAACGTGCACGTATTCTTATTGCTGTTCATCTCTACAAAGTATTTTCCAATCAGTTTTATTAAATCTCATCAGTTTTCGTTTTGTATTTAAACTAGACTCAAGATAAAACATTTAGTTCTCATGATAATACATTTTCTACACCAACAGTCATAGATCCATCGAAAAGAAAAAGCATTTATGACAACAGACGTTCAACTGGAATCGATGAATTTGATAATTTAGAAAAAATATTCCTACAAAAAGAAAGTAAAGACGACCGCCGGATTGTATTTGGCCTTTCAATTATAGAACAATTTTCACTTGATTCTTCTCAACAGTATCAATGCGTAGATTTTTATGATGTTGAAGAAGGTTATATTATGATCAGTAATGTTGTAGATTCTAACCGGCCCCGATCGAAAATAAAAGATTATTCAAATATCGGAAAACACAAATTATATAGTAAGTATAAATAGTATGCGAAGAAAAATATGCTAATATTTATTCTTAGATAAATCTAATGATAACAGATGCAAAGAATCGAAGCCTGTTGCAACGCATAAAACAGATCCATCTATAACAAAAGCTAGTAAACTTCTTTTATATGCGATCAACAAAACGTCCTCGCATAGAATTCAATCAATGGAACTTGATTGTCCTTTTGAATTTGACTTCATGATTTGTATTCCTATTTTTCGTTTAATTCTCGGTGTTATTAATATTAAACAACAAAAATCACTAATGATAATCATCGGCGATGCATCCCGCAAAGGTGTTTTTCTATCAAAACAAGATATATCTGACTATGTTTATAGCATTCTTTATATACACGAATCAAGAATGCTGTTTATCGGTATGAAAAACTAGTCTCTTGTTAGTGACGAATGGATCGGAAAACTATCTTTAGAAATTTCTTCTATTCTCGCTTCTATAATTCACATCGAATAATTTAATCGTGCTCTTTTTATTTATTCTGTATTACATAGAAGGCTAAATATATATATATGTCGGAGTTGACTCTAAAATCCAGTTGCCTTTTAAAGGCAACTAGTTGTCTTTAAAATTGAAGAGTCAACTAGTTGTTTTTAAAATTTGATAGTCAATTAGGATAGAGCTAGTTGACTCTNTTTTAATGTCAACTAGTTGTCTTTAAAATTTTATAGTCAACTAGGATGGAGCTAGTTGACTCTTCAATTTTAAAGACAACTAGTTGACTCTTAAATTTTAAAGTCGACTAGTTGCCTTTAAAAGGCAACTGGATTTTAGAGTCAACTCCGACATATATATATATATAAAGCATTAGATCTAATACGATATTATCATTCGAGATAAAGCAAAGACATCGACAGTCTTTTTGCGAGAAGAATGAAAACAGGACACTTTAACAAATGATTCAACGTTTACTGATGAGATATATGTTAGAGACAATAAAACAGAGTTACCGTTAAAAAGAAGAATTCATCGAAATTTGAAACAGCTGTTTTCAATACTCTGGTAAACTGATTTCGTTGGTTCATAATATGCTTACCTAGTGGCAATTAAGTTCGATCACGAATCATAATGAGAACTATCAAACTTCACTATATACTTTAGGTTGTATGGGTCGTGTTCTATTATACAATACTCAACCGCTACAGTTTACTTCTCAACCGTTATTTATTTCCGAACTGGCTAATCTACCATTTACTCCAATGGAAGCAATAATACATATATGTCATGTGATAAAACATCGAGCTGTTGGTCTTCTATCGAATCGAATTTTTGTATTATGGCAATATACACCAAATGAAAATGCATTACGAACATTTTGTAATCCTTATCGTTATGATTTTAGCCGTTGTCATTACAATTCGAAATTTGATTATATTATATTTGCGTTTATTGATGGTTTTATTTTAATTTATCAAATAAATCAAATGAAACAAATCCGTCGTTGTCAACATCATTGGCAAATGATTACTGATTTAGTTAATAGTCAAGATCAAAATTTACTTTTGTCATCATCAATCGATCATATGATTAATGTTTGGAATTTAGGTAATATAAAAATTTCATAAGCAAAATTAGTAGAAAATATTATTTTCTTTTAGAAACTCTTCAACATCTCTACCAATATAAAGCCGATGAAGAAATATTTCGAATTGATGTTATTCATGAAAGTTTATTTTATTATCGTACTTTAAAAAGTATCATTCTTTTTAACTTAAATTTGCATACAATTCTATTTTCAATTACAAACACAAAAGTCAAATCATTAAAATTATTTACAGATATGCAACATATTGCACGTATCATAGCAATAGTTGAAGATAATTCAAGTATACTCATATCACCAGTTAGTGGATGTTGTCTCAATTATGTATCGAATATAGCTAAAAAACCGATTAAGCAAATATTGCACGATATCAGCAGGTAAAGGATAGAGACTTGTTAGGAGAGACTCTATCTGGTTGAGAGTACTACTCATTTCAAAAACCACTGGTTTATAGATATAGAATTACTTTGCTATCGTATTTCTAGAAGACTTACTGAAAGGTTGATGAGCACTAGGACAAATACAAGTATTTTACTTGTGTTTTGGCGAATTACTTAGTATCTATATCGAATGAGTCATAAAAAAAATGCAACATCTAGGTATCGAATACTTTTCTTCGAACTCTACTGAAGATAATGGATGTTCAGTTAGATCGCGCATCTGATTCAAGCGATAATAATTAGTAAATCTATTCCAATGTGGTTAATTCTTAAAGAAATGCTAGTAAATAAATTGATTTGTTGATAAGTCTTTAGTGATTATAACACTTTTAACGTGTAAAATCTAGATCAAGCATTTATTCACTTCAATCCGATGGTGAGATAGTTCTCTATCATGCAGATAATAATCCATGTGTTGCTGAGTACAGAATTCGAACAAAATCTGAACAATATGCTATTACTTGTATGACATTAATTCATCCAATATGTACACAACTTTTTAATTTAACGACTATGAAAACAACAATAGAAAAATCTCTGGAGAAACAAATCGTCTTTTTGGGTCATGCAAATGGTTACATATCTCTTTTTCAAGGTTAATCATTTCAATTCCTTTGTTTTAAAAATAATTGCTCTTCTATAGGTGATTCATTCACAATGGAACCAATTCTAGCACATAAAAGTTCTATACTATGTCTTGAGACATCACGAACTAGTATGCAAACATCGAAGATATTATTTACAAACTGTGAAGTTCTTCTTTCATCAAGTATCGATCGAATTATTCATTTGTGGAATTTAGCTATTAATAAATTTGATGATTCCATTCAATTAATTCATATTGTGGCAGTCGAACAAGAAAAAAATATCTCATTTGAATCTATTAAATTTCTATCTATGATTGATAATTTTATTGTTGCTAATTATTCGGATCAAAATTATTTACATATTTGGCAATTATTAAATATTTCTATTCGAACTAATGCTCATGATCAATGGGGTATTGTGGAACATCCAACAAAAGGTAATCATCATCATGGTCAAATACAGGGTAAAAATTTATTTGGGATTTTTAAAAAAATCGTCTATTCTTTTAATTTCCTATAGCAATATCTGCATCATTAAAATTAAAATTATTCGCGTCATCGGATACGGAAGGTACAATAAAAATATGGGATAATACAAATAGTTTAGTGCGCGAAATATATCTTGATAAATCACTTGGTGCAATTGAATTTCTTTCACAAAATGATGAATTGCTCGTTGCTTATCAAGATAATATTCATTTAATATTACCAGAAAATTATTTATCTAATTATCAAAAATTGAAAATTAAACAACAGACATTTGCTACTATAATTGCAGAAAATGATCTTTTAGAAGTTACACAACCATTGATTATACCATATCAATCACTGCCGATATTTAATTATCGTATTAAAACACATCACACTAAACAACGATTACAAATATTTGAACGACAATTAGCAGGTTAAAAGCTCATTTTAAACGAGAAGCTAACTATAGAATTTTTTTTTATAGATTTAAAGTTTCTTATATAGAAGAATAAGAGGAGAGACTGTTCAGTAAGAAACAAAATCTGAAGACAACTTTTGTTGAAATTCAAACATAAAATTATATTTAAGGTTGATCTCTTTTTCCTTGAGATTTGATCGAAGTACTACACATTCAAGCGTAAGTCCACTCAACGACTTTCTTAATAATGAATCCCACCAAACCCGACAATGATGATAAACCTTTAAGAATCAATGAAAATAACTTTTTAAAGGCACTACTAGTGTTATAAGACTCTAGTGATAGACTCGCTGAAAAACAACAGTCTAAATCTGGAAAAATACAACAAACTTATTTAGATATGTAGTAATATAAATGACATATAAATATATACTAAAACAAGGTCAAACTTCTTCGAGCAACGAACTCACATTATATTTGTACGAAGATAAAATCACTATTTATCCGTTTTACTTATATTTAAATAAGATTTATACGAAGTAGTCCCGTGACTTTTGCACTTCAATCTAGACTTTAAATAGATTTTAGTAAAGGCTAAAACAATAAGAATTTACTAAGATTTAAAGCTTAGAACTACAGTATTCTACTTGAACTGTGACATGAATATATCGTTCTATATTAATCTAATAAATTTCATCTAATTCAAAATAAAGTCCAATTTATCTTACATTTGAGTTCTCAGTTGTCTTAGAGAACCAATTTAGAAATATACTATTTCATAATCTTTTCGTTTTGGGTTTTCGCAGAATAAATCTCAGTTTATCTTTTTTCTCTCGCTTTGTTCTAAAACAAATTATCGAATAGGAAGCAGATCGATAAGCACAAGAAAAGTTCAACACGTAAAAAAATGAAGGTAACAATAAAATCTATCGAAGGTTGTGAATGTTAGACTTCATTTAACTTTTTTTTGTACGTGCCTAACTTTTCGGTGATGCAGCCGTTTTTTGTAGCTAGATGTTATGTAATACATATTCATGATTTTCATCTATCTACCATAATAAATCATCAAGTTTAAAAATTCACACTATTCTAGGCCGTTTCACTGTCGTGGAAAGTGATAGTGCTCAATCAGATGATGAAAATCTTCTATCGTTAAATATGGATCGTTTATCCATAGTTAGTGATGATGCCGATTGGTTTGGATTAGCTGAAGATGTGAAAGATATATTGCGAATGAAGAAAAAAGAAATTCGACATCAAAACAAACAATTAAAGACAATAGAAACAGAAATAAATGAACAATAATTGTATGAAATAAAAATAAAAATAAATCAAAAAGGTCGAAACGAATGAAAATTATTCTGAATATTATATATTTCTGGTACGGACGGATTCGATTGTTTGACATGTTGAGATCTATATAAATAATCCATTTTTGCTTTTTGTCCTTGTTCATTTGTTGTCCATTCGATAAGAAAAGTAATTTGTCTATGACGCGGTGGAATACAATCAAAAGTCGATAGGGATTTTCGTGAATTACGAACATGTCTACTATCATTTGAATCGATCTCAAGATTTAAAAAATCAGTTGGTGATAAATTTTCAGCGACAAACATTATAAAATCATATTGATTTGTTGTTACGTAATACGTATAATCTTTTCCCTAAAAAGCAAATTTCATTGAATTATTGGTTTTTTTATTTTATTCAATAACGAACCCTTTGCGGTGGAATATTATTTTTTAAAACAGAAGCAATTAAACAGTCGGCTAAGAGTGCTGCTGGTTCGGGAGTAACCTGGACATTTATTTGAACTTTTGAATGCATGACTAGAGTATAATCTTTAATAGGCTGATGATCATCATTCCAGAAACTAGTTGAAAATGGAATAAGTACATAAAAGCCCGATGTTAAAGAGCCAATCCAATGAGTAAATGCTCCACGACTTGTACATAATATAGCTTGACGTGTTCCAACATCTTTCGATGGTCCTTGTTCAACATTACATAATACAAATGATTGTGTGTGCGTATTTCTTATTCGACGATTTTCACGATGGTATATTAAACTAATATTAACCAATGATGTTCTATAGATATGCAGAAAACAAAATTAATAATTCAAAAAAAAAATCAAGAATCAATTTACTTCGATAAATGGAAATGATACGTTGGAATTAATTGTGTAGATGATCTTGTAAAACGATTGACTTCACGAATATCAAAGTAATCAGTCGCGTAAGACGATATTGTAATTGAATTGAAAAAACGAAGAAATTTCGGCCAAGAAATCCAAAAAGCACCTGGTGATATATAATCTCTATTGATATTATTTAATTTAGTAAGAATATATGGTGTAATTGATTCATCTGAATAATTCGAACGAGCATGTGGATCTCGAACTAATACAAATTGCATCGAAATATTTGATAATGAATGTGCGGCTAGTACAGAAAATGCATGATTACTCGGAATATTATTTCGAGTATATTCTTCAGCACTAATATCCGAACGACCTGTTGATGCGCCAATTAACAGACTGTAGAAAAATGTTTGATTTCTTTGGTACAAATTTAACAAAAAGAAAAATCAATCTTACTGAGATTCACAAGCCGATAAAAGTTTCGCCCAAATCATCTCACTATCTATTGTGTGATTCTTTGAATTAAGATCAATATGATCACATGGTGCACCAGTTAACAATTGAAGACCTTCTTCAGTTTGTCCGCTGATCAAATCAGCATAGGAACCAAATAATTTTGCACAGGCCTTTTCAATTAGAGGAACATACAATTGACGACGATGTGCTTGGGTAAATGCAAGTTGATTGTATTGTGTACAAGGAAAGCAATCGTCGACAATAACTGTTTTCCATAAACCATTATGACAAATACGTACAAGATAAACACCTTGATTATTAATTTTCTTTATTAAAAGTATATGTTCAAGCATTTGTGGTCGTTCAGTAATAAGAGCTAATGCAGCCATAAGCCAACAATCACCGAGAGTACCTTGTTGAATATCACTTGGTTTTGGTGATGAATAAACTGACCATTTCAAACGAAGATCTGACTGTGACGATGGAGATATTTCCGATATTCTTAACCATTGTAATGGATAATTTTTCAATGCATCAATGTAACCAATAGAACGAGCTATTGGTGGAAATTGATCATCAACAAAATGTGTATTCTCCTAGGAATCAAAATAAAATGTCAAGCTGTAATTCGTTTTTTTTAAACTAAATCAATTACTTGTTGACAAAATAAAACTATATCAGTAAAAAGTTTTTCTGCATTTGTTTCATCGGAATGTCGACGATCGTCTATAGCAAGTGAGATCGATGTTGTTGGTGATCCTTTTGTATTTACAAGATTTCTCTAAAAAAAAGAAAGATTTTAAATATATAATTTTAAAAACTATATCGATAAATTCATACCGAAGATTTTGCCGATTGGTTGCTGAAAGAACTATTCTCTAGTCGATATGTTCTATTCATGGGTCTTTGATTAAGATTCATATTTTTCTGTTATTGATTTCGATGATTAGATAGAAAATCAATATTCAGCCAAACCTTACTCATACTGTTTATCTAAAAGAAAAAAAAAGTAGTTAAGGATACGTATACACGACGAAAGTCAACAGAATATGACCGATGTTTCTCTTCTTTTCTCTGGCTCGTTTTTTTTTCTGCATTGTATTGTAGTTTACTTTAACCTACGCAATACCGAACTATCGACTGACGAAGTGAGTCATCACAACTTTGCCCTTTTCCTGTTGAAGTATAAAATAAGGACAGAATAAGAAAAAAAGTGCACATATTATTCATTATGTTGCCATATAAATCGGTGACATAATATCCAACACACAGAAACAACACACAAAAATGATTTGATATATTTTGACGATCATACTCTACCAATTTTTAATGAATCACTGCCTATAATTTTGTCCAATGTGTATTTCATTTTATCAAAAGTCACGTTCAACGTGTCCTTCCTGCAACAACGTTTACATTGGAGAAAAAAAATACTGTGCATGGTTTTAAACAAAATTTTACTTTGTGGTAGTTCCTTAGACACTCATGTAACAGTTGTATTTGAATAAAAGCATCGACCTTCAATGTCTTTATTCAACTGATCAATGAAGTGCATTGGATTGAGAGAAACAAAAATTATTTCCAACCTTTCAGTTTGTACGGTGAAAAATTTTAATGTCTCACGGGGTCAAACAAAAAATACGATTGACAATATATTCTTCATATTGCAAGTATGCCAATACTTGTATTTGAATCCATCTATTTGCAGATAGATCGACTGTCAGTCAAAACAATAAAAAAAGCCGAAGTATCAAAATGTGTGTATTCATGTATCCTAAAAAAAACATTTATCAAATGTATATAACTGAAGTAGAACTAATATTTATAATCATAAAACATAGACACTGGAGACTGACTAAAGTTTGAATTCGAACAGATCTATTATCTGATGAAATATTGATATTTCAAAAAACCAAAGGTGCGGTTTAAGCAGCTTGAATAGCTAATAGTATCTATGAATATTTGATATCTACTTAGAATGTGAATAGCTTTGTTGAAACTCAGCATTTCATTATTCAGATTCGCAAAACCTTCATGGCTACATAGAACCAAATATCTGTTAAAATTCTTTCAGTTCAAGGATGTAATTTAATTTTGAAACCATAAAGTCCTATAAATTTGCTTGAAATGCAAGTTAGTAACTGTGCAATTGAAAAGGCTTGTGAATCATATCAATATGCATTTATTTATTTTTTTGTAATTATCAATTATTGACAAGGTTCACTAATATTTTACTCTTCCATTTTTGTCAAATCTATTTTTTGGTTCGTAAAAGAAAAAGAAAAATTTCTTATGCTGTTGTCTTTGATCTAATTCAATAAATACTCTTAAATTTCTGCGGTCTGAGAGTCAAGTCTTTTCTTGCAGTCGTCTTTTTTTGAATCATCATCATTTGCATCTTCTTCTTCAGTATCATCATGAAGAAAGCTTGCATCGTCAACTTCTTCAACTTGTAAATATCTTTCACCGTCAATGTTCGTCCAATATTTATTTGTGTCTAAGTTACGTTCTTCGGTAGACATTTCATTTTCAATTGCAAATACAATGCGTGCTCGTTCCAAATGCCTATATTATTTAATACAAATTAAACATTTTTCAAACGGACTTCATAGTACGGCAAAGATTCTACTAACCAGATTTGTGTTGCACCTTCAATAACATTTCCATATGTATCACCCATCATAGCGATAAGTAAGTTGAGTAATAATATTGTTACGACAATAATATAAATGATAAGTAATACTACACTCACATAGCTGTAGTTTGTTTGCGTATAGGCATCCAAATCAAAATCGCCTAACATGCCTAGAAAACTTTGCTTAACACTAAGCAGAAAACCACCAAAACCTAAATAGAAATTAAAAAAAATGATTCAATGTTAATATTATGTAATATTTACCATTATTATTAAATAAAACAAAAAATGCTTGTGAAAAGCCAGCAAGAAACACGGCGTAAATAATAAAAAAGCGAAGAACATCATTGAATAACATTTCATAAATCATTACAACGAATGGACCGGTTAATCGAAAAGCCATTACGAAAAACAACATATAGCCCCAACCAACAATTGCTGCTATGGCTAATACGGCTGATTGGGCTTCCATGTCAAATGCGCGAAGAATATTAATGATATATATGCTTACACAAAATAAACACGCTAAGCAATTTTCAAGAAGACCAGAACCCTATGAAAATAATAAAATCGTTTAAAAGATGTTTTTTTGAGAAAAAAGCAAGCATTTATTTTACCGTTGTTTGAAAATATTTTTTAATGCCTAAACTATTCATTTCGTTATATTCAGATTTTCCTTTCCAAATAGCTCCTGCTAATACAAAAAGACGGCCAATTGTACATACAACTTGAGTTACCATTTCTGCGGGTTCAACTTTGACAACCACAGTGTCATCACCAGTGCCCTCAGTCTAAAATAAACAATAGTGTTACTATCATAATATAAGTTCTTGTTGATTCATTATTGAGAAGATTATAATTCTTTTTTATAAAAATTAATTATATACAGAAACTAACAATTTAAATCTTTTTGCTTTTCATAAATAAATTTAAAAATACTATTAGTCTTGTTTAAAGTATCAATTTTTTTTATGAAAACAGCTATTTAGAGAAACAGTATTTAGTATAAATTTATTCGTTGAGGTTTTTGAACTAAGATATTTTTTTACTATAATGCATTATACGAATCTAACAGAAGAAAAGAAAATCCATGTGATGAATTTCAAGATTTTTAGGACTTCACAGATGCATTAGAAATAGCTCATCGTAGACATGAGAAACATTTTCGTCAGCATCTTTTCTTCATTGGAACCTGTACTTGATATTAAAATAGAAACGCTATAGGCAGCGTCAAATGTTATTAATATCTTAACGAATAACATTTGATTAGAATATATAAATCTCAGAATCGTGTCCTTCATGAGATATAATGAAATAATTAATATTTAAATATGATTTGAGTCGTTTTTTATACGTATCAAAAAGATTTTTATGGACAAGTAAAATTTCTACTGTCTAAATATATCTGAATCTTACTCATATACATAGCCGGCGGAACGGTTTTCCTCTAGGGTAGGCTCAATTTTCTAGCTAAATGAGACAGAGCAGCGGCAGGGCCGCCATGACCATTCCAACTTTGGGAGGGGGCGGTAAAAAAATGTTTTCTTCGCGATGCTGTGCTCACGGACGTCGCGAGCACCCAAAACGTTTAAGCGGCAGTAATCAGTGTTGCCAGATCCACCTGATTTCGAAAAATTTTCAGGATTCTCTGCATTTTTTCTCAATGTTTCGGAGGTTTTTGCAATTTTTCGGATTTTTCAGAATTTTCAGATATAAATTCGGATTTTTGACTTCAACATCTGGCATCAATGAGGGTAACTGATAAAATCGTGCTTAAGGTAGTGTAAATTTCATTTTGTGAAGTACAATGCAAGACAATTTTTCGAATATTGTGGGTGTTACATCCCCGTTATCCCTTGATCAAGGCACCCTCGGGTACCTGAACACGAATCAACTTCCGCTGCTTTTTTTCCAATGTTGATTTCTTGGTAGATTTAAATCTTATAAAGTCCAATGAATATCTTATCGAATCCCAGTTCGTATTGGTGAAAAAGAAAATATGAACTAACTTTGCAACAATACGCCATATGTTACTGGCACTGAAAATCATACGTGAAAACTAAACAATAATGAAAGACTCAGATATAATTGAGTCTACCCAAGCCTTCAACTGTTCCTGTTTGAGCCTACTCAAGTCTACCCTATTCCAAACTAGGACAGGCTCCGCCGTCTATGCTTATATACGTACGTACAACCCTCGTGATATCTCTTTAGCTACTTGAGAAATTTAAATGGAAAATACGCTTAATTAGCTAGTATATAAAACTAATACTTTACCGTTTCTATTCGTGATTGATCCAATATAGTCGTAAGAAGAAAAATAAGCAAATACAAAAATGTAACAAGGAAACGACGAAAAAAGATGCGTCTTGCAAAACGTTCCCATTTTTTACTGACTAAATCTATAATACGTGGATGCATAATAAGTTCAACATGTGCGCTTTGAACAATTATTTCCAATGCACTATCCGGTTTATCATCATCCTAAAAATCAATGAGAATATCATTTTTTTATTAATTAATTAAATTCCAATGATTTAGTTTTCGTTTTATACTTCTTCTTGATTTATTTCCAAATCCACTTGATCAAGTGGATAGAGAACGCAAGCAACAGGACCAAAACTCCATTGAGTTATTTTACGTTCTTCAAGTAAAAATGAAAACATTTCTATTTGACCTAATTTAGCTGCTAATGTTAACGGTGTAAAACCATTTTTGTTTAAACGTTTCCACAATGGTATAACTTTGTTTTTCTTTGCTACAGCTTTTTCTGCATTTTCTTCATCACTAGAAAAATTTTCATCTGCTTGTATTTCTAACCAACGTTGTTTTACTTTTGTATACATTTTGGGTAACTTATGAATTACAAGTAAATGCAAGACATTATTTCCATTTGAATCCATCTAAATATACATGTATGTACGCTAAAATTTGATTTCTTATACACTAATTATCATATCATTTTTCGATTATTTCTAAATGTATCTTATTCGAAACTTTGTTTCATATTTTCCATCTATTCTATTGCATTTTATGATGTTTTTAAATAATTTATGTCAGTATTGGAGGAAAATTTTGAACTTTCAGTTCCATTTCATGTTGATTAATCTCAGAACATGATGATTGTGGGTTTCCCCTTAATTTAAAATATTATGTATTTTTTTTCTGCATGATCTACTACGTTCTTTTTTCTTTCGTTCATTGACTACGGCCTTGCAAAAAGTATATATAGGCTGAATGAAAATTGGACTATAAATATTTACTGCAATCGAGCTGTAACCGCGTCGGTGAAGCAAAACGCAAAAACCAAGAGGATAAGATAATAATAAAAATAAAAATTATCGACGTCTACATATGTCATTTTTGAATAATGACAGATTTGGATTCATTATATGTCAAAATCAGCAATAATGAAAAAGGTATTTATGATAAATCTTTGCATTATTCTGTTTTCTCTTTCTCTTGTATAAATATTTTTTCTTAACTATTTTCTGATTAGAGCAATTAATTATTTTATTTTACGACGTTTAAGAGACATCTTTCTCCTTCTTCAGTTTTATTTTATTTGGTGTTATGTTGTTGTTTTTGCTATTTACAATACGTATCTGACTATTATTTTTCTTTAATAATGAAACGGAATGACAAGACGGTAATACTGGCCGATAAAACTTATGTTTGACGTTCCGTTCGACTATTAAAGAAAAAGAAACAGAAAAGTCAGATACGTATTGTAGATAGCAAAAACAAAAACAAAAACAAAAACATAACAACAAATAAAACAAAGCTGAAGCAGTAGAAAGATATTTTCGAAGCCTTTTAAAATAAAATAATTAATTGTTCTAATCGGAAAGTAGTTAAGAAAAAAACATTAAAACAAAAGGAAGAGAAAAAACAAAATAGTACAATTATAATGACCTTCCTCAACACATGTAATTATGATAAATCATAAAAGACAAATCATATGAGGTCTGCTTTGTTTATTTTTCAAATCAAAGCTGATTTTTCTGTAAGTTATCGTGGTCTCTAATCGTATTTTTTTGTGCTGCGTTAAAGAAAACCAATCAAATTTTTTATAATACACTGCAAAGTATATATTGCTCTGAAAAAAGCTGTTTTGAATTAAATTCTTCGAATAATATACAGTAGATACCATAGGAACGTCAATTATACATCATACAATAATAATGAAAACTTATTATTTGTTAAGTTATGAGAATCAAATTTCCAATTGATCTCATTAATCAAAGAATATAACTCAATAAAATGCCATCGAATACCTTATTAATGAACTTTTAAGTGTTTTACTCATGTTAATAAATACCTCTGAGTATTTTACGTAGTCAAAACAAATCTATCATTGAAATCACGCCGATATTTTTCTTGAGATTTTAATACTGTCAAGAAGACTTTATATTGAGTGTATGATCAAAGTCGACGAATTCAAAGAGTGCAACGAAATGACTAATAGAGTTTCATGTTTTACAGATAGAAAAATTGAATCAAAGTAGTTTCATTGAAATATAGCCAACGAACGATATTTATTGGATAAAATAATCACTAGGTGATTCCATTGGTTTTGGTGAAAATATCGGCAATCAATATTGAAATTTATTGCACAGATATAGTTAGTATAAGATTTTCTATTGCTTGTTCAGAGTCATAGAAATAAACTAGAACGAATAATGTGGAATTCATCGCCATTCGTAATATATTCAAACTTTATTCTCATAATTGAAGCATTCAAAGTTTGCTATTCGCGTTTAAAAAAACTACTTTTCTGTTTCGACTTAATTCCATTTCGAAAGGGTCAAATTTTCGATATGACCCAAATAAACAAGTATCTGCTTATCACCTTTAATATATAATAGTTTTGTTCAGAAGTTCGATTCTAATTTTTTCCAAGATGTATAGAGAAATCCATAAGAAAATTTGGCTATACACCATCTCTGTGCAAAATATAAATAAATATCTTTCCGATTCAAGAGAAAAACATCTTCATAAATCAAACAAGAGACTATTTTATCTGACCTATTTTTTCAAATCTTCTCTTGATCAGTACCATGGGACCTGCTCTACATTGAAGGACTCAAGTTTGCACTTATTTTTAAATTGATCTCAAAACAAAATTGAATAATTACTTGGATTACTTACCGCATCCATAGAAGCACCATATTTAAGTAAAATTTCTACTATATTCCATTGATTTGTACAGCAAGCAAATGCTAATGGCGTTTCACCATAATAACAAGGTCTTCCACTAAATTAAATTTTACATGTATATATATAAAAGTTTTCTTTTATTGAAATAAATCTTACACTTGAAAAAAACTGCCGCAAGCAGCCGCTGTTAGTTGTTGTTCTCGATACTCTCGATTGTGTTTATCACCTAAAAGCCATTCAACCATAGTTGCATTTCGTTTAATAATGGCAATATGCAAAACCATTTCGCCATAATATTCCTAAAGACAAATAAAAAGTTTTTCTTAATAATAATTCAACAAAGAAAATCAATTCAAATGACTACACTTTGATTATAGATTTGTGTTATTGTATGTGGAAAATTTGTAACTAAATATCGAGCCATATTAAGATGTATCTCGGTTCCGTATAAAAATAACATATGAACAGGGCATTCACCAACTGGACCTCTTTGATCTACATTTTCAGGATCTTGTGTAACAAGACGTTCCATACTTGCTTGATCAGCTTTTCGTACAGCTTCCCAAATAGTTCCACCTTTACGTGAGTTTTCTGTTTGTCGTTCAACAGCCGAAGCTGTTAATGTGTCATTATTTTTATCTTTTTTCTTTCCAGCACTAAACGTTAAACGTTCCCATATGCTCTGGACAGAGGCTTGATCATCACTCATGGTTTTGTGTCACAGGCCAAAAGCGTCAATATTTACTGTTGATATTTTTTCCTATTTTACTACAGTTAACGATGAAAATGGACGATTAGGGCGACGATTAATATCTAGGTAGTGCAGTCGTTTTATTCTTTATATTTTTTTTTAATCATTCCTTTACTATACCCACGCGAGTTGTTATTGTGTACGTAATTAACAGCGTCGTCAATGTGATCAATGGAGCGAAACTATTTAGCCTTGAAATAAAGGATGCATAAGGTAATGAACAACTTGAAGGACCGTACTTTTTGTTTGGCGATAGGTTTTTGTTATAAACTTTTATGAAGTAAAACTTGTTCGACATTTCCTTGAACATAGGTTCAAATTGATACTTTTTCGATTACTACTCATCGAAATAAAAGACACTAAAGGTAACTATTATTTTCAATCAATTGAATCATAACGTGGTATGAGATTAGAACATTTTTCCTTGATGGTTTCTCTATTAATATATGATTGTGAGTGATAATGTGCGAGTATAATAGACATTAATTAATTCGAACTATAGAGAAAATGAATGAAAGTCAGCTGATTAGTAAATAAATTCCATCAGCTGAAAATAAATTGTTGTATTTCATTAATTCAAAGACTGAATCTGGACATATATTAATCAGATACTGTATGATTGAAAAATAACCGAGCTTCAATATGCTTCAAAACTAAAATATCAATATTTGTATCCAATATACGCATGATCAAGATCAAGTAACTGTATACTAAAGGCAACTCATGAAGATTAATCCCATAGTAGATATACAGTCACTTCCGCTTTAATGCATTGATATTATATGTCAATGATTATCATAAAATTGTCTATGTATTGGCCTTATCTCATAGATGAATTAGTACTTTTCTTGATAAAGAATATTACCAATTAGAAAGTTTTTTTACCGTATCCATTTCTTACTTCAAATAAAAACTGCATTACGAAAATTTTATATCGCAACTCAAATTGAAACCCTACTGAACGATTGTCTAATTTAATTGATTAATTTCTTTTGTAGCTATGCGTTTTCTATTGTCGTGCGAATACAAATACTTGAGAAAAAATTGAGAAAGGATTGAAATAATTATCCAATTCAAAGTCTTATTGAACAAATATGTTTATGAAGAACGTTTCAACAGTAAAACTCACTCTCATAAATAGATATACTGCAAAGATGTACAATGAGTAAGTTCTATTACTCTACCCGCCCTGTCACTTTGATAGAGGCACCCTACGCTACCGATTATGAATAGGAACTGTCATGGTTATATTTAAGTTAGAGAACGACTTTTTCATAGCAAAGTAGCTCATGAAAAAGACTCATCACAAATAATTAATGATGCACCAAGAGTATGATAAAAAACATTTTTGATGTTTTTTAATTATTTTTTCATTCATCTAGAGAAAAGAAAATCACCCACCTACTCTGGTTTCCCTCGCCTTTTTTTAGGTTAACCGTGAATCAACTGCCAATCGTAGAGAAACATGACAAAAATATAGAAGAATAATCGAGCCGCATGTAAACGAACACGCTTCATTTCATTAATGAATTCCTAAGTTAATGAATGACAACATTTCAAGTAGCTGATATTATCAAGGGTTCGTTCTAACTTTTTTATTCAAAATAAAAGGATAATATTAGTCATATCTTTCAGAATACTTGAGTTCTTATTATGTTGAATCTTTATAATATATAATTTTTGTTTTGCTCTTTTTTACATGTAATTCTAATAGAATATGTGTATGTGAGGAAATTGCATCACTAACAGATTTATTTAACTCAGATAAAAGACTTACTGTTAGCGTCACTAGATGTCACTTCATGACGCTACCCAGGTCGACTGATCCCACATCGAATCCGATAGGAATCTGGAAATATCCTACAATCCGATACAATTCTATTGGATTCCAGGTCGAGGGATCGATGTCGGATCCTCAGTGTCGGAATTCTATGAACTTCCGATGACATACAACGGTTTTTCCTTGGAATTCATAGGAATCCGACAATGAGGATCCGGCATTGATTCCTCGACCCGGAATCCAACGATAGTTCTGTAAGATCTGACAGGATCCGATAAAATCCTATTGGATTCTAGTCGGATCGGATGGGTTCCGATAGGTGCCTACTGTCGGATTGCTCGACCTGGGTAACTTATCCATATCATTGAAATGCGTTTTTCTAGTCTTCTTTTCTATTTGACATGGATAATTCTTCTCATGATTGAGATCATATGATCTTTTTTTTTGGCTTAGCTACATTTTTTCGTTACTACGTCGTTTAGTTTTCTCGTTCGGATATATAAGGGACTATCCATATATTTATTTGCTGGTTTTGATTTTTTCATCACTGTTATCATTATTTATATTAAATCTACTTTTTCCTTCAGTCAACTCATTTCCCAAATAAATAAAAATGGAATCGATCAAGCTTATATTAAAAATTAAACTCAAATTTATCTAAAAGACTCACACTGCCAATAATTTATATCATCTATAAATCTACCATATTTATGAATCCAATTCTGTAAAATAATTATCTCACTATCTTCCTAATTTTTCTCTGTGTTATTTAGCTTGAGATTTTCGTCGTTTAAAATTCTATTTTTATTTTGTTCAGTTTGTCTATCTGAATTTTTACTAGTGCTTATACTATCAAATGCAGAGTCCTGAAGAGTGTTTCAATATTTAAATAAATAACACGAAACGCATCAGAGAAATTAAACTATGCATTTCTGTTCATTAATTTAATTCAAGCGCATTAATCTGTTATCTTATTTAATTTTCAACAAAGTCGATTGCTGAAAGGCAAAAATTGAGAATAGCAGATTGATTTGCATGTGACGTGAGAGATATAGATCCATCTGTTTTTTTTGATTTACTCAAATAATATCAAAGTGAAATAACAATGCTTTTTAAATAACGTCTTAGTGAACAATTTTCCGTTGTGCATATTGTAGAAATGAAAAAAATATTTAAATAAATAAGCACTTATTGTCTAAACAAGACTGTCTGCCAGGATCTGACCATTTTTATTCAAACCTCACAGTGACTAAGCATATAACTGATCAGTTGGTTTTTTCCTTCGTGTTGAGTATTACGTAGATTATTACCTTAAGATTTTTGATGGATTATTTTCGATTTTTTTTGTGACAATACAAATGATTACCTCTGCTATTTTCTAATTACTGTCAAGTACAATCAACAAAAACAAAAGCTGCGTGAGCTACGCCAAACAACATGTTGTTGTGAACAACAAAATACTTGTTTTTGCGTTACTTGCTTGTCATGATCGGATGATGGGGTGATTGTAACGAAGATAGAAGAAAAGGTAATTGTCATATAGTTTCAACGGATAAAATTTTTTTGCAAATGCGCATTAATAATATAAATTTATAATCGTTTTGCACCAATGTTTCACAGTTGTGGTGCTAGAGAAAAAAACAGTAAGCTTTGATCGTGTCGTGGCTTCGAGAAAAAATGCTGTTTCATACGGTTGAACATAAGTTTTAAGAAGTCATCTAAATGTTAAACGATTTTTTAATTGATACAATATTTCGTGTGGACACACTTGAATAATTTGTGCGGAGAAAAAAACGTACCTATGATATTTTTAATCAAATAACGATTTCATTTGCCATCTGATGATCTGGGTAGTTCCAGTGAAATCTAGATTATGGTAGCTGTTCACACCCACACCCTTCACTCTATAATAATCAAAGAAAAATTAAACTCAAGATTATT